GTCAGTCATCGCACAATGTGGCTGTTATTGTGTACAATGTTCTCCTGATTCTGCTCACTTCACTCAGCATCGGTTCATGTAAGTCTTTCCAGGTTTTTCTGAAGTCTGCCTGCTCATTTCTTATATATATTCCATTATATCCATGTACCACAATTCATTCAGCCATTCTCTGGGAAGCCCTTCTGTTGACCTTTCAGAACTAGACCCTTATAAAAGGCATGGATGTGTGGAAGCTGCCTTTACACAGGTGAGGCAGATGAGTCAAGGTCATTTACATGTGGTTTATAACCTTTTGTGTGCTTTTCATTGAACATGGACACATCGTACCCTTTGGAAGTTCATGGCACATCAGACCTAACTGAGGGAGTTGGAAGGCCTTTCCCTACACCCACTGTTTCTGTTCATCACCTCTAGACGGATATAACGAATGAGGCTAAGAAAAGCTGTTCTTCAGCTCTAACGGCTCTCTTCTTCAGAGTCTTTGGAGTGAGGAAGAAGTACAGTAATTGCCTGCCTCCCTTACCTGATGGTTACCAGTGCAGAAGGACTGACCAGGAGGTTTTAACATACAAACATACATGTTTTGTATTTGCATGTAGAGCTGAACGTCTCTCCTCAAAAGCTGTCTCCCCCTTTCCCCCGCCCTTCCTAAAACTGTGGGAATGGTCCAGGAAATCCATCCCCTCCAGTTTTGTATCCTGGCTTTGACCCTCATCCTAAAGAAAATACCCAACTGGAAAAATTAGTCTTTGGAAGAAAAAATGGAAAACCAATTAATATACCAGTTACAGGTGGCAAAAGAATTAATGCAGAGGTTCTAGTAAGGAAATCTGCCTCCTCCTGTGTCCTTGACCTAATAACAGGAGGGGTCATGAACATTCCTGGGAATACAGCTTTAGCAGGCATGCTTATGGAGCAGTGAGGACAGTGGGGGACAAGTATCCAGCCAAACTGATGAGGGCAGAGGCAACAGACACATCACACTCAGTGCCCATTAACTAATTCGACTAATGAACCATCTGATCCGGTGATCTTTCCACCTGAGATTCAAACCAACCACTGCCCTGAAGCTGGTGCCCACAGCAGGGAAGAGCTGTAGTATTGACCCTTTCCTGCCTTCCAGATGGACATCTTATTGCAGCTCTCTATTTTGGTGACATAGATCCCAAAATGTCACTCCACAGGGAGATGCAACTTTGGAGTGAGGTTCCTGTGCCCTTGTCCAGTGAGGTAAGATCGATTTGTATATGCTTCTATGTATGCATGTTATCATCTCCCCTCTCCCCAACAGAACGCAAGCTCACTGAGGGCAGGGACTGTTTCATTTTTGTATTTGTATCCTTAGAGCCTAGCATAGTGCCTGGCACATAGCAGGCATTTAATAAAGGCAGCTGATGGAGTGTCGGATTTGGAATCAGAAAGACCCGAGTTTAAATACTACCTATGACACCTACTAGCTATATGACACCTCCCTGTGCCTCAGTTTCCTCATTTGTTGAAATGAGGATAACAATAGCATCTAGCACCCAGGTTGGTTGTGAGAATGACATGAGATAATCTTTGAAAAGCACTTTGCAAACTTTGAAAGCTCTATATAAATGCCAGCTGAATGTGTGCTGAGTGGTTGGCTGGTTTTTGCCAGCATCGCAGAAAGATGGCATTCTGATGTAGCATTCCACCTGTCATGACAGGCTGTCTGGGCAGGAGGAGCCCCTACCCCCTGGCACCATGCCTGGCCCACAGAAGACACTGAGTAAGCATGTGTGGAATTGAACTGGCCTGTAACCATCTAGTCCAAGTCACTTGCTGTCTAGAGGAGGAAACTGTGGCCCAGACAGGTAATAACTTGAGCCACGTGGGGGCAGGCGGTGTCACGACCACGTCTCCTGTGCCGTTTTTATCTTGCCTCCTACTAGATATTCCAGGAAACAGAATTCTTGTCCTCCCCATGCTGGGATTCGATAGGACAGTCACCAGCTATGGACGGTGAACCTTTAGCTCACGTCATCCTTGTACTATACATTACACTGGGCAGGCCACAGAAAACAAGCATTTATTAAAGGCTTACTTTGCACCAGGTACTGTGCTAAGCACTAGAGATACAAAGATAAGTGGGAAAAAAGAAAGACACCACCATTTTTAAAAATTAATAAGTAGACAAAGGTGGTAGGAACTCCACGCTTTTGAAAAGTTTTTCTTCTTCCTCATCAGTTTAAAATATACAGTAAACTGCTTATCAAATTGAATTAAATTGACAGTCAGGATTAACGATCCATTAATGAGTGTGTTTATAAAGTGTTAGATCTTTGGGTTGAAGGCTACTAGATCATTAGTCATAAAAGCACAGTACTAGGGTACAGTGGAAATCATTTCTGCTTTTCAAGGTTCTCTTAGCCCAGGGGACAGTGTGTACCTTTATTCCAAGAGGCAGTGTCTGTGGGAGTCTCACCCATCCTGGTCACAGCAGAGAAAATTGTGCGGAGCTGGCCACATACCCAGACACCAGAGACCCACAGCCACTCTGCTCTCAGCCTCCCCTCTGCATCCATGCTGCCCGCCCCAGCTTGTATTCCAGGAGGTGGGCTAAGAAGACCACTGTTCTGGGAGCCGGTCTGGGTTTGGCAAAAGACCCACTGGGACTCTTGACTGCACCGTGGGAGTGGTGAAGTTTCAAGTTTTGCTCGTCTCATCTTCTCCATTTCTGCACAGCTCTTAAGAGAACAGACCTTCAAAACTGAAATGGAATTGTGGTCTAAGCTTCTGGATGGGAAACTTCTCTCAGCCCTGAAAGCCTTTCACTGTGATGAGCCTGGATGGGTCAGGATTGTTTTCTCAGACACTTAGAATAAAATTTGTTTGTGGAAGTAAATTCCCTTGTCTATAATGGAATCTGGTAACAAAACCAGCTCATGTTTTACAAAGAGAAAGGGCTAATGTGTATGTTTCAAAATGTCTGACATTTCTAATCCCAAGCACAAGTTAGACCACTGATATAAGAGTCAGGAAAACTGGAAGATCTGCAAGTCTTGCCTCTGACAAATACAGCAGTGTGACTCTGGGCATGTTACTTAAACTCTGAGTTTCTTAGGCCACTCTCTAAGACTATAAGGTTGCAGGGGCCAATCTTATAGCTTATTTATATAGCACTTTCAAGTTTGCAAAGTATTTTGCATATATTATTTGATCATCACAATAATCCTCTGAAATAGGTGCCATTATTAGCTCTATTTTATAGATGAGGTAACTGAGTTCAGGTTAATAAACATTTGATTAAAATGAATAATATTTTCAAAGGTATCTCGAGACTTCAAAAAGTCCTACAGTCATTGTCAACTTCTAAACTCTTTCCAAATACAAATTTTAAAAAAATGAGTCTCTGGACAGCCCAGTCACATCAGCAATGGAAGGCTCAGTAGAGTTTTCTCATCTGAAGAAATCGAGTTTGCCAAACATCCAGGGACTAGACCAAAGCAGGTATTAAGGCTTGGTATGTTTTATATGCTAACCAGCCATTGGAAAAACTGTTTCACTTCAACTTTGCTGTAACTAACCTGCAGATTTAGCCATGAGAATCTAAATGCTGGTTTCTAAAAGCCATTTGTTAATTGGCAAGAGGCTATTTAGAAATATGCTCATTTAGTACTGCAAACCTCCAGGAGCTGCATAAAAGCTGTTATGAAGCCAATGAAAATTCGTGTCCAAAACTGAACTCATCTTTCCCCCACGTATCCGCCCTTCTTGCAAACTTCCCTACTTCTGTCAAAGGCGCCGCCATCCTTTCAAGGTCCCCAAGTTTGCAACTTTAGCATTATTCTGGATTCCTCACTTTCCCTCACCCCAAACATCTCATCAGTTGCCAAATCTTGCTTTCACCTCCACAGCTTTTCTTGAAACCAACCCTTTTCTCCATCCACAGTGACCACCTTTCGGGAGGCCCTTGTCACCTAGATTATTCTATCAGCTTCCTAACTCTCTCTGTCCCAAGTCTATTAGATACACTCCTGGCAAAGTGATACTCCTTAAGTACGGTTCTGACCATGTGACTCCCCTCCACCAACCCCAGAGCTTCGGAGGCCTCTGCCACCTGGCCCCGCCCTCTCTTTCCAGGCCCATTGGGTATTCTCCCCCACAACCCTGCGTTTCGTCTCTGCTGCTTTGCAGTGGTGATCCCTCATGCTTGGAATGCTCCCCTTCCTTTGCCTCCCCCTCTTCCTTTCATATTGATGCAGATTAACCCCCGTCTTCTTCTCGGGCCTTCGCTCTCAAGTTACCTTGTGTTACCATCACGCTCTCTTCCACCCTGGACCAGCCCACCATGGCCCAGGGCGTGACCCCTCTCTGCCCCTCTGACCCCCCAGCATTTCAGCTCCTTTTTCATGATGGGCTATTTTCCTTCATTAGAATGGAAACTCCTTGAACAGTGACTGCTATTTGTCTTTCTATTCTCAACACTCAGCACAGTGCCTGGCATCTAGTAAGTACTTAATAACGGCTTCGTCTTGTTACCTCAGTACGTATAGGTATGCATTCATGCTATATTTACGCAGGATTTATTTGTACAGATACTTGTTTTTTCTCCCAGTTATCACATCAGCTCCTTTCAGGTTGGCATTGTTTCATTCTCTGTACCCGTATCCCCACCCGGGACCTGGCACATTGTAGGTACTTAATAATGCCCTTGCCTGACTGGTTGAGATGGATGGGAAGTGACATGGAGGCCTGGTTCCCAGTGAGATAAAGCAAAAGCTGGGCTGTGGAGCTGGGGCACTCAGAGCATGGCCCAGGGAGATCTGGTGGGACAGGAACAGGATGAGAACTGTGGCTGGAGGGCAAGGGGCAGAGTTTGGAAAGAGGGGTGCAGAAGTAGAAACCACCTACATGTTGTACTGACTCTGTGATGATCCAAGTCAGGAAAGGCTTAAAGGGAGAGTGCTGGGAAACTGCTATTTTGCTCATCTAGCCATCTCTGCCTTAAACATGTCAATAAAATAAATACAAAGTAGCTTGAAAAATATATTTTAATCCAAAAGTTTTAGGCATTAGTTTATCTCAGTTATTTACAATGATATTTACAGTGACTCACAACTACTCTTGTGGAAGACATAAATAGAGTGCTAAAATACAATGAATTTTAAGATTCAATTACGGTCAGTTCTACGGACACAAGCCAAAGTGTGTACAAGAAAGAGATGAAAGACAGATGAATATGTTCAAACTTTTATATTTTAATATCAGGGGAATGAAGGGTCACTCACAGTTTTTGTCTGACAAGTAGGTGGCTTTAATCAGAGCCAAAGGAAAGGCCCTTGTTGTAGGCTGGGGCTGAGCTCCCTTTGCACTCACCTAACTAACATATCCATGAGAAATGTTTCTAAGATCCTTTTTTAAAGGATTAGGATTTGGTCACATGGTACACTAATAGCCTTTAGTGTGATCTGGTGATGAGCAGCATCTCTGAACAAACTGAAGAGGTAGGGAATGTAGTCACCCTTTAAAAACGTTTCTACCATCAACAACTAGCCAACCTAACCACTCCTGTGGCACCTTTAGGAATATCCAAGGTTGCCTGGAATAAGCAAAGAAAGGCATCAGCTCAAACTCTGTTGGAAAGCTTTTTATAAAATATCTGGTGTGCCCAGACTCCTCCCCCAAAGCCCTTCTACTGCGAGTCTAGCTACTATATTAGTCTCAGGTCATATTTACAATTCAGTAATACATACTCAATGTATGTCACCATGGGATTTCCTATTTCATCTGTGTAGAGGTGGTTATGTTCATTTCATGGGGCATGGCACGGGGTCACTATTTTAAAGATAACAAAATGTTTATAATTTTGTATTTGTTTCTGTGACATATGGCCAAACTCAAACTTCCTGGGGTCCAAGGACTAAGCACCAACCAAGTAATGCTTTGGGGTGAGAGGCTGGCACCCGGGTTATCACACGGACAGCAGGGATCTACCCTGCGAAAAGCAGGGGCCACCTCCATCGGGAGCTTCCTCCCGGGCAGGACATCCTAGCTCAGCACAGGTACCTCTTCAGAGTAATTCTTAAAAAAGACTGATTAAAACGAGTGAAGAAAAAGCTAAGAAGATACTATTTGCCTACTGGGTAATAATAAAAGGTTTTTTAAAAAGTTATTTCTTCAGCCAGCCACCAATTTCAGTAAGTACACTGCTGGGCATCTTGTAATGGTGTGCATAGAGGACAGAGGAAAATGGAGTCTTAAAAAGATTACAAGTTGTTGGCAACTGTTTCCTTAATGGTTATTGCAGGAGTAGGCCCAACGTGAGTCCATATGTACCCTTTCTCTGGTCTGGTGGGAACGGTAGGGAACGGTGAGGATCGAGACTTGAAATATTCTGAAGGTGCATGACAAACAAAGTCCAAATATTCCATCTTCCTTGGAAGATCTTCTTCTGGTCCTGTAAGAACCAGGGAAAGTTCCACTTACAAAGAGATGATTACGAGGTCACTATAACAATCAAAATTCCTACTTCCCAGCTTACTGCTGCTGATAGGGAAACCGGCCAAGCATCCTTTCTACAGGCCCCAAGGTGTATGTGGGAGCCATACTGGGTGATGGGGGAGCAGCTGCTCCCTAGTGCTACATACAATGGCAAAGAAAGGCAGACTAAATTCTTCTCACACAGGAGGAGGCAGCAGGCAGCTGAATGAATTTTGGGGACCCTAAAAAGTAGCATCCTTGTGGCTCTCCCATGGATTGTTCTGAAAATCTTCTTTATATTAAGTGCTTTGGAAAATATAAAAGTGCAGCTTATGTTACCTGGGGAAATCTCGTGCACACCTGTGTTTAAAACAGTGTAGCTATTGTGTAACTAAAACCATGAAATACTTAACTTTTCTTCACGGGGATCAAACTTTCATACTCTTTGAGCATAATGGGGGCACAGTTGTCAGTTTAACAATACTTTCACAACACGGCCTACCTGAACCACATGGGCATCGAGTTCAGTAACTCGGGCCATTGACAGACTCACCTATGATGTAAGATGCCGGATCAAACTGATCTTTGGGACTGGCCATCGTGGGGATGAGCCACGTTAGCGCCGCGCTCTTCTCGCAGTACTGGTCTTGGATAAAGCCTCTTATCTGAGCATAGTACGTTTTTCCATCTTGTTCATCAACTACAGAAACAACATCTCCAATTTGATAATATACTCCCTGGAAAGATCAAACGGACAATGCTATTAAAAATTAACAGAACGCAGCTCTGACCTCAACGGTGAGAAGCTAGTGGCTATCTTGAAATATCTGAAGGGCCTGCTTGCAGAATCAAGCAAAGGCGGCCCCTTTGGACTTGGTGGAAGGACAAACGATGGCTCTGGAGGCAAGGGAAGTCTGCCCTTTGCTGGAGATTTTCCAGCAGGGTATGGGGCAGTAGCTGACCCAAGTCCTGGTTGTGTACATGACAGACTCAGATGACCTTTAGGCCTCTCTCAATTCTGAGACTATGCAAACCTACTTATGGTTGGTCAACAAGGGTGCGTTGGTACAGTGTGTTGCCCTCAAACTAGGAAGACTCCAACGGCCAAGACAATATCACTATCAACAAGAACCTGCATTGTAGAGTGTCTTTTAATTTTCAAAGTAATTTCCTGCATTTTACACAATTTGTCCGTCACAATTGCACCGTCCAGTATCATAATCCCTGTTTGGGCAGGGGAAAACTATGCACTTCAACCTCTAAGGTTCCCCAATGATCAGTGACAGCTGAGGCAGGAGGCCACTGTGCTGGAGACAAATGGTGGTACAGCGGGTAGAGCACTGGGTCTAGAGTCAGGAACACCTAAGTTCAAATCCAGGCTCAGACACTTAATAGGTGTGCGACCCTGACCAAGTCACTTAACCTCTGTCTCAGTTTTCTCATCTGAAAAATGGGGATAACAAGAGCATCTACCTCCCAAGGTTGTAAAGGCCAGCATACAGCAACCTCTATAGATATGCTAGCGACTGTTACCATCACTGACTCACAGTGCTCCTTTTTGTATTATTCTGAAACGGTGATTGACTCCTGAGAAAACAGGCTCTTCTCCACTAGGGCTCCTCTTAAAACTCAAATAAACAGGAAACATACTTCGGCCAGAAGTTTTATTAGGGACCTGCTCTACCTTCAATTTGTGCTTTTGTTTTTATCAATCAAATACTGTCAAACAACCAGTTTAAAACCAGAGCAACATTATAATGGCATGTCTTAGGGATCTTAATGGAAGGCTCCTCTAAACACAAAATTAAGTTAGTTCTTGGCAGTAGCAGGGAGTCAATGTATCCCTGAAAGGAGAGTTAACTATTGTTACAATTTGCTAATTAAAATTTATTTCACATCAGGACATAAAATCCATTTTTACTGGAACAACTGATATCCTATTTCAGAAAGGTAAAGGTGGAGAAGAATATATACATGAGATGCACCACTGAAACGGAACTGGAGGTGGAGCGTGCGGACGCCTCAGTCCGTCAGGTGTCAGGTTTCTTTTACTCTGACACTAAGCAGGGCACAAAGGAATGTGGCCTGGCATGGTACGAGAGCACTGAGCTCTGGTCCTGGCTCTGGTATTGACTTGGTAAGGAAATAAGGCAGGCCAGTTAAATGAGACTGAGGACCATAGGCCTGGGATGCTTCACGCTTCACAGGCCCCGAAAACCCTCTGCTGGTCTGTTTGCTGTCTCCACTTCTGTGGATTATGCAGCATCCTAACATCTGGAGGAGGCCCTGTGCACCTCTGGACTGCCTGACACTTCCTTTGCTCCTTCTCCTGCTCACCTGTCATCACCCTGCTGTATTATATCTGCTCCACAGTCTTGAAATACACTTTCATTTTTAAGTCAATACTCACAAATGTGTCCTACAGTTAACAAATATGTCCCCATATCTAAATCTTCTCAGAAAACTTCTCTTCTCCGGCTCCCTTTCAACACTAGATCTGGGGAGGGGTCCCCTAAACTCAGAATCACCTTTTTGGTAAAGGGACCATTACATCATGAAGATATTTTATAAGAGAAAAAAAGATTATTCTAGCTTCAAACAGCTAACTATGCAGATCTTGATAATACAGCAGTCTTAATAGCACATTAAACAAAATACTGAAGCCTTCATATAGAAAGAATTCATGTTTACCTTGTGAAATATTGATTCTGCAGTAATGATGGTGGAAACTGCTTCAGGAGCTTTGATGGGCTAAAAGAAAAACACAAAACCAAAACCATCACCGTGTTTTTTTAAAGAGGTGCTGGGTACATTTTTTAAACCAAAGAAACTTGTACAAGAGTTTGTGAAGTTAGGGTTTTGGTAGAGCTGTAAGGTAGAGAAGGAACCTCATCCCCCACAAAAGCAGATCTACAACTGTTCTGCATTTACAACACGTAGGCCTGGTACTAAGTACTTTATTATATTATATTATATTTATATATTTATTATATTATATTATATTATAACCCCACTTGATCCTCACAACAACCTTGGGAGTGAGGTTCTATTATTATCCCCATTTGAGGAAACTGAGGCAGACAGAGATTAAGAGACTTGTCAAACAGCTACTAAGACTCCAAGTCACATTTGAACTCAGGTCTTCCTGACTCCGGGCCCAGTGCATTATGTACTGTGGTGCTTCCTAGCTGCCCTATGTGATTGTACCTGGGGATTATTCTTTTCATCATTTGTTGAGACAAGTACTTAATAAACAAATCGGGTTGTTTTTTTTTTATTTTGGTGAGGCAATCGGGGTTGAGTGACTTGCTCCAAGTCACACAGCTAGTAGGTGTAACATGCCTGAGGCCGGATTTGAACACAGGTCCTCCTGACGCCCGGGCCTATACTCTATCCACTGTGCCACCTAGCTGCCCCTCTGTGTTTTGTTTTGCTTTTTTGTGAAGAAAAAAGGTACTGTTCATTAATACTGCAAGTAGAAGATGACTTATAAAAGGACAAAAGCCAAGTAAAACAGTTTTCCACTACGTTTTGCAACTCCCAAACACTAAAAAGCAAAATTCAGTTACTGTCAAGGAAAAGACGGAGCTTAATCAACCTTAACTCAGGGAAATAAGACAGAGTTTTCATAACTTTACTAACAAGATACCATCCACTCTATAACTGCCCTACCAATGGGGGCAAGGAGGAATCGGTGGTTACTTTTGTTTCTAGTTACTAACATACTATAGAACAATATCTAATTGATTTAGACTTCATGAATTTGAAACAGGGCTTGAGTTCAAGTCTGTTTGGGGGTTTATTACAAAAACATATGTCTGTAGAAATCACTCAGTCAACAAACCAGGCTGTGTGAGTGGGTCCATCTGTGGCAGCCAGAGCCACAGCAGTCACTTGAGCTCTCTCACTCTCAGCTTCCTCATCTGTAAAATGGAGAGGCACCCGCCTCCCAGGGTTGTTTCGAGGACCAAATGAGATCATATTTGTAAAGTGCTCACTTAGCACAGGGGCCTGGAGCATAGCCGGCAGAGCATGCGTAATGTTATTCTTATTACCGTATTGGTACAAATTGTGCATTATAAACAACACAGAGATAACACTATAAATCATATGCACGTATACGCACATATCTACACTGGCACCATACATGTGCGCAGATACACAACACACACGACAGATACATGCGTGTGGGTATCTATACATGCATACACACACATACACACACCACATCTGGACCAATCACACTAGCCCGACATACATATATGCGCAGACACATCTACACGCGCCAGCTGCGCTGGGACGCGCGGGTGCTCCCGGCGCCCCTCCCCCTCCCGCCGCACTCACGTTCTTCAGCTTAAAGATGTGCCTGCGGCCCTTGCCCTTGGTGGACACCTTCTTCTCGGCCGCCGGGGCCGACTTGTACTTGGTGTTCCGCAGGCGCGCCGAGCGCCGGTGAATCTCCTGCTTGCTCTGCCGCGGACACATCAAGGAGCCGGCGCGAGCGGCCGCCGTTAGCGGGCGGGGGCCTGGCGCCGGGCCGCGCCTCGGACCGACCGCCCCGCCCCCGGGCCCGCCCCCAGGCCAGCGCCCCGCCCCCTGCCCCGCCCCACCGCTCACCTGCTTGCCGCCCCCGCCGCCCCCGCCGCCGCCGCCATTGCTCTGCTGCGAGGCCGCCGCCGCGGCGCCAGCGAAGCCCGAGCCCGGCCCGCCGTGGCCGCCGCCGGGCGCGCCCCCGCCGCCCGCCGAGCCCGCCCCTGCACCGGGCGCGCCCCCGCCGCCCGCCGTCCCACCTGCCGTGCTCGCGCCCGCGCCCCCGGCAGCCCCGCCGCGGCCCGTGCAGTGGTTGCAGAGGATTTCGCCCTGCGCGCCCTTCTTCCACATGGACGACGACGTGGTCCGGCACACGCTGCACGTGGGCTTCAGGCCCAGCGGCATGGCGGCCGGCGGCGCGGGCGGCCCCCGGGGCCTCAGCGACACGGGAATCGCGACCGTGGGGCCGACGCGCTCGCTGCCGCTGTCGCCTCGGCCGCCGCCCCCCCCCCCCGCGTGGCTGGCCGGGAGGAAGCGGGGAAGGAGCGGAGGTGCCCGGGCGGGCTGGCGTTCCGGGGCTGCGGTCGCGGGCGGGCGCCCCCTGTCGTCCGGAAGACTTACTAGGCCGTGCCTCCCTGCCTGCGGGCCCGCCCTCTTCGGGAAAGCGCGGTGGTTGCGGAGGGGTGGGGCGTGGGGCAAGGAGCACTGGCTTTGGAGCCTAGGACCCGGGTCAGAATCCCGCGTGTTTAATAATCATCTCTGAGCCAGGATCAGATGTGCATGTCAGGCACAAGCCTCTCTCTCCCCTGGCCTTCAGCCCCGCATCATGAGTGGCATCTTGGGCATCGCAAACCGGATGTCCCAGAGACGAATCAAACATGGCTGGGAGGGTGGACAGCTTTTTCTAGGAGTTTGGCTGAGAAAGGAAAAAGAGAGATAGAATAATAAGGCCAAGGTTAGGGTAGGGTCACATGGTAGGTTTTTTAAGTATAGGAGAGACTTGGATGTGTTGAAAGCAATAGTGAAGGAACAGCTAGTAGCTAGGGAGAGCTTGAAGATGGCGGGGAAGGGCACAATTGAGCTTGTGATGCGCTGCGGCATAGAGAAAGAATGGGGTCATTACGTCAGGAAAGTTGGTCCTGGCAAGAAGAAGGGGGGGGTCCCTTCCACAGATGTCCGGGGGTTTTGAGGTGAAGAGAAAGAAGAAGACGGTCATGTCGAATGGCCTCTGTTTTCTCAGTAAAGAAAGGTCCTCACTTGAGAAGGGAGAGAGAGGTTTGGGTATGGGAGATTTGAGAAGAGAGAAGGTTTGGAAAAGCTTTTGTGGGGAGAGATCAGAAATCTGTTAGGGAAAAATAGAAGTATTCTCTTACTGCATTCAGGGCCCAGGTGAGGTTGAATAACATGAATTTGTAAGATGAAAAAACTGAAGCCCAGAGAGGGGCACTGGCTATTACAAGGTCTTTGGAGTGCCCGCTGGGCACTAGTTTATGCTTCTGTTGGTGCATTTTACAACCGACCCGACAGCTGAATTATGTGAGTCAGGCAGGATGCCCAAGGCTGCTACCTTAGTTACATCTCAACTGTTCTTGACAAGAATTTAACAGGGATGCGGTAGATGGAGCACCCTGAAGTCAGAAGCACCTGAGTTCAAATCCAGCCTCAGACCAAACACTTGACACTTACTAGCTGGTGACCCTGGGCAAGTCACTTAATCCCAATTGCCGAAAAAGAAAAAAAATACATAAAAAAAGAAAAAGAACTTAGCGGGGAGCCTCCACATAGAGTTGGATAGGAGTGTTGTTTTGATGACTCCTCGGCTTCTTGCCATTAACTTCCCTTTTCCGTGTGTGGGTAAGAAGAGACTATTTTCAGGGTACCATTCAGCCATCTTTACCTCACTTGATGATTGCTGGACTCGTCAGTTACAAATATTGTTTTGAGGAGGTGTCCAGATAGTCAAAGGGGGTCCATAGCGCAAAAAGATTAAGAATCTTTGGTGTAGGCCAAGATTGTAAGCTCTTTGAGGGCAGGGACTGTCTTTTGCCTCTTTGTATCCCCAGTGCTTAGCATAGTATCTAGCATATAGGAGACACTTGATAAATGTTTGTTTACTGATCAGTAAACCCCAAGGTCTAAGCCAAAGTCACTTCAAGAATTGTTGATCAGAACATAAGTGACCTGTCATTCCCAGTGCCTACTGTGCCAGGACCAATAGGCTGTCCTCTGATTCCCCTCCATAAAAAGTCTTTGTGTTCATGATTTCCTGAAGAATAGGTCATCACACACTAACCTGATTTCCTTATATTGACAGGGAGGTGAGACTGATAGATCAGAGGAATGCTGTCAATATAGTTTGCTAGATTGTAGCAAAGCATTTGATAAAGAGTCTCATGATTTTCTTGTGGGCAAAATGGCAAGCCGTGGGCTAGATGATAGTTCGTAGATTGGAACTAGCTGAATGGCTGTAGCCTGATTGGTTTGATGTCTCTTAAAAGGAGGTCTCTGGTAGGATGCCCCAAGGATTTATGTTTGGCCCTACTCTTCTTACCCATAACCTGAATAAGCACATGCATAGTGTATATATCAAACTTCCAAATGACCCCAGAGGGGGAAGGCTAACACAGTAGACACATAATGAGGATTCAAAAAGATCTTGACAGGCTAAGACATTGGACCAACTCAAAGAGATGGAATTTAATAGAGACAAGAGCTGGCTATGTGGCAGAGTGGTTAGAGCACCGGGCCTGGAGTCAGGAGGACCTGAGTTCAAATCTGGCCTCAGACACTTACTAGCTGTGTGACCCTGGGCAAGTCACTGAACCCTGTTTGCCTCAGTTTTCTCATCTGTAAAATGAGCTGAAGAAGGAAATGGCAAACTACTCCAGTGTCTTTCTCAAGAAGACCCCAAATACAGTCACAAAGAGTCAGATATGACTGAAAAACAATGAAACAGCAACATTTTTGTGTTTAAAACTATGTTCTACTTTCTCATATAATGCTGTTCGGCTATTTTGATAAATAGTAGTTTTCTGTAGGAAAGGAAAAGCAAGGTGAGATCTCTTAGATCAGCTGTGTCAGTGGCATGGGAGGAAACCACCGTCTTAAAACTATGTTTGCTTCAGTTGTTTTCCATGATGCAAATGACTTGACCTGACAGTTTAGTCCCTTTGGGTCCTTGGTGGCAGTGAACTGCTATATGGTATGTTAATTGTTTGCTCAGTTATTGGAAGAAGAATTTGGGGGGCAGGGGGAGGAAGAAGAGAGAAGGATGATACCTTGATGTTTTCCTCCTCTGGGGGGCCTTCTTTGCCTTTCCATCTTTATGACAAAAGACAAAAATGCTTGTACTCATGCAGTGTGTGTCTGTGCTGCTGAAAGTGTGAACCTCACACCAAGCCCTCTCTAATCAGATAGGCGGTGGTATGGCCAAACGGATAGAGCACTCAAACAACTGGGTTGGAATCTATACATGTGCTGTAGGCGCTGTGCTAAGGAGGAGACAATCCGTAGTCTCTAGGAACTTGTATTCTTGTTTGTTTTTTGTTTTTAGGCAATTGGGGTTAAGTGACTTGCCCAGGGTCACACAGCTAGTAAGTGTCAGGTGTTTGGTCTGAGGCCGGATTTGAACTCAGGTCCTCCTGACTTCAGGGCCGGTGCTCTATCCACCTAGCTGCCCCTGGGAACTTGTATTCTAACAAGATCCAGTCTTGCTTACTTATTTACTAGCTATATAGGTAACGTAGGGTAAGGTAAGATCTGAGTAAGTTACTTTAACTTTGCTGAGTCTCGGTTTCCATATCTGTAAAAGTAAAAATAATAGCAACACCTGCAGAGATAATAAGCTAATGCCTGTACGTGATTTGTCCATCCTAACACTCTCTGTAAACATGAACTTTAATGAGTGATTACAGCCCTGCAGCTGTCTAGTTGTCAAATGAGTCAGAGGTCACTTGAGTGTGAGTACAGTCTTTTTTATTTTTTATTTATTTAAGAGTGAATCTCCCAGTCTCATCTAGGCTGGAGGTGCAGGGGCCACTTATGGGCCCAATCTCAATACTGATTGGCTCAGAAGCTTTAACCTGCTCTGTTTCTCCCCTCCCCCCCCCCACCAGTTAATCAGCTTTCGCCCCACTGTGGCTCAGAACTCTCAAGTTCAATCAGTCACTGGCCTCAGCTTCCCCGGCAGCACAGACTACAGGCTTCCATCAACCTGATGGTCACTCCACCCAGCTGGTCCACTCCTAAACTGTATGGATCAAGCCCTTCTCGGTTCATTCTCCTAGCAACGACTCTGCCATGAAATAAGCTACATCCTATATTTTCCCAAAGAATATGCCGGAGCTAATTTCTAAGATACCACTACCCTTTAAAGTAACAGAGAAGGAGAAAACAGAAAGTACTTGAAAAGAACAACACATTTTAAAGTTGTTTCATTTCAGTTGTCACATAAAGTGGACAGAAATTTTCCTCTTGAAGACTTCAAATGCTCTGCAGAGTGGAATAGGTTAGTCCAGTGGTCCTGGGTCTTCAGAATCTGATATCCTTGTATCATTATCTTTGTAAGCTATTAATAGAAAAAAGCCCGCTGCAAAATGTTTGTAGGCCTTGGTTATGTGGTTATTTGCCATCACATTCAATATGGTGCCCCTTCCAAGCTCAGTTTCCTCATCTGTAAAATGAGATTGGAATAGAATTGGGGGTAGGGAGCCTACATCCTCGAGGCCTTATATGTGGTCTTCTAGATCCTTGGGTACAGCCTTTTGACTGAGTCCAAGTTTTATAGAATAAATCCTTTTATTAGGGGGATTTGCCCTGTGAAGTTTGAATTCAGTCAAAGGGCTGCCCTTGAAGACCTAGAGGGCCACATGTGGCCTCGAGGCTGCAGGTTCCCCATCCTTGGACTAGGTGGTCCCTAGGGTTCTTTGGAGCTCTAAATCTGTGATCCTGTGACCACCTTCTGTGTGCTTCAACTAGAGTAAATGCTAGTCTAGGCCTTATGGACACAAATATGAATCACCTAGAGGATCCTCACTTGGAGCTTGATGTGGAAAGAGGGCATGATCTGAGTGACTCCTATTTTATGTACCCTGGATGGGTTTCCCTTATGTGGGTGGGATGGCGGCTCTTTATAGCTTCGTTGGTTCGGCGTCCTTGCCACCTGAGATGTAAAAGGCAGAGGTTTTAGCATAATTCCTACTGTCACTGGGGAAGTCCTTTCTGGCCCAGCATCCTAGTTGTAGTGGTCAGTACAGAGATGGAGAAGAGTCAGTTGAGTATCTTTTTAACTTTAGCAACTGTCTTTTTAATCTTTTGTTGCTATTAAGGTTGTTGTTGTTTAATTTCATTTTATGCTTCACATTGCGTTTTAACTCCCATACTGAATCACTGAACTGACTTGGGTTAGGCCTAGCCCAGAAGACTTCCAGACTTCCAGAGTTTAATAAACTCCATGAAATTGGGTGTCACTGGGGAGATGCCTTTGGTGTAGGAACCTATGGGGTCCTCTCCTGAAGTTAGCTCTGGGTGGAATGCAACATACAGAGGCAAGGAAGGAGGAGGGAGAGGAATCTCAGTTCTAGACCTGATGGTTTGATTTGAGGCCACATCAAACAAGTTTAAAAGGAGCTAGGTGGCTCAGTAATAGAGTTCCAGTCCTGGAGTCAGGAAGACTCATCTTCCTGAGTTCAAATCTGGCCTCAGACACTGCCTAGCTGTGTGACCCTGGGCAAGTCACTGAACCCTGTTTGCCTCAGTTTCTTCATCTGTAAAAGGAGCTGGAGAAGGAAATGACAAACCATTCCAGTTTCTTTGCTAAGAAAACCCCAAATGTGGGGTCATAGTCAGACACAGGTTAAATGACTAAACAACCATCAAGTTTGTTTATCATGTTGTCAAGTTAATTTAGTGAGAGTTCACTCAAGTCCTGTTTTTCCTGACAGCTTTGGGATAGGCCATTCCTGACTGCTGTCCAACTGTCTCCCAACTGTCATTTCTAGAACCTGTGGCCGAAGCTTCCATTTGTCTCTTGTCTCCCGGGCTCCTCTTGGCAGGACCAGGAGCATCCTCTGCAGATCTGCTCTTGTGATTAAGGCATGAGCCCCCTGTGGTTTCACTCAATAGAATTCAATTCAACTACTTCTTTACTGGACTAAATTAAAAGGGATTTTTTTTCCTGGTTATTTTCTAGACAAACACAAATCCCTTAGATTGTTATCTGAGCATTATTATATTGCTGTTTGGGTGTGTGGCATGCCTCCTGATTTTAGCAAAAGAGGAGATATTTCTGCTCCCCACAATGTTGAAAGAGAAAAAGACTGTCAGCCCACTAGTGTTGATAGACTTTGGGTATTCTGCATTAAGTTGATCAGCGCTGTAGCAGAAAGAGTTCTCGCTATCAAGTCAAGTCCCACTTGGGTTCTGATGGGCCTTGAGCAAGTTGCTGAACATCCCTGGGCCTCATATTCCTCATGTAGAAGATGAGAGGGTTGAATTAAATGTCTTCTGGGGTTCCTTCTAACTCTGCAATCCTAGGAAATGCCACATTTTAACCTCATCCACATGTTGGGAAGATTCTGTTTTCATGAATGTTTAAGAAAGCTTTAGGCCAGTCAATAGTGGCAGATATAGTACTGTACAGAGTAAAGAAAGAAAGGGACTGTGTACAGCCCAGGCCTGAAACGTTCACTCTGGGGCTCTAAATTTGAGTTTTACCATCAGGGAGAGCTTGTCCAAGATGGGTCAGTAGGAACAGCATTGATATGGAAGCACTATATTGAATGTGATGGCAAATAACCACATAACTAAGGCCTATACACTTTAACAATTAAATGCATTGATTTTTTTTTTAAGTATTTGGTCAGAACTAATTTTGAACCAGCAATATAATTTGCTTTGCCCTATTCGTTGTTGTCAAGTTTTAAAACTTTTTAAAAGTTGGCTTTAAGATCTGGGATAATGAGATTTAAAAATGAGACACATATACTATTCTGACTATCTCATCCACACACATAAGTTGATAAACATCTCTGAGGATGAGGTCTCAGTGAAGACCACACTACTGAGATCAGATACATCAAATTATCTAAGTATGTTTGACAGTCACATACATGGGTAACATGGATCAGTCCTTTCAGACTAAGTTTTATCGTCATTATGTGTCATTATCAGGAATGTTAAGGCCATCTATAATTTTTTCAAATTTATAATGCTTCTATCTTGCTTGTCCATAGTTGTTAGCATTTTGTCTCCCCCAAAGAGCTGGGAGTACGTTGAGGGCAGGGACTATCTTTTGCCTTTATTTGTAACCCCAGTGCCTGGTGCATAGTAGGCACTTAAAAAATGTTTATTTTCTTTTAGAGATACTGTGGTGTGATAGAAAGAATGCCAGTCATGGAGCCAGGAAGACCTGGGTTCAAATCTCCTTCTGACAGTTTTTATCTGCATGACCCTGGGCAAGTCATAAGCTCGTAGATCGAGGGCTGAAACAGACTTCTGAGTCCAACCCCTCATTTTACAGATGAGGAAACTGAGACCCAGGGAGTTAAGGGACTTGCCCAAGGTCATATAGGTAAGCTTTAGAGGCAGGACTAAAGCCTCAGTGGTGCAGTGGGTAGAATAATGAGCCCAGACCTGCCTCAGACACAGTTTGACCTTTGCAAGTCCCATAACCTCCTCCTCTCTAAAATGGAGATGATCATGGCACCCTCCTTGCAGAGTTGGTGTGAGGGCACAAAGAGATATTGTGTAAATAACTATATATGTGATATTATCATTATTATTATATGCAAGTCCTCCTGCTCTAGTTCCTGGGCTCTTTCTACCATCCCAAGCTGTGCCCGGGGTAAATTCCTGAGGGCTTATTTACAGAGCCATGCCCTCGGTGTGATCTGTTCTGGTGGAGGGTAGCCCCATAGTAAGAATTCCCTCTACACCAAAAGAATCATGGACCTCTGGTGAATAGTCTATGACTCCCCTAACCACAGGGGCCTTGCATTGAGAGGACCATTGGCTCGTTTTAGTTGTTCTGTAGATTTCTGGAGAGCACCTTCTGTGTGGAAAGCACCAGAGTAGTCCACGAGACAGTATTCAAGGGCCCCTAGACGTAAACACAGCGAGAGAAAATGTCAGGATTGGAAACCAGGATGATTGTATGGACACTGTTAACAGTTGTTCTGATTGAATGCTCCATTAAGGTGAATGGCGCACCAACCTGATGATCATGTGGTCTGGCTGGCAAATGACACCACTGATGAACCACAAAATGGAGAGGACAAAATTAATCCATTCAGCAACATAACCATCCGTAGAGGTAAGAGAAAAATTAGCCTTAGACACAAATTGCCATGTTGGTATAGAAAAATGCATATTGTGATGTTATAAGATAAGATAGACAGTTTTGAGTATATACAATTTAAAAGTTTTTGCGCAAACAGATCTAATGCAGTAAAAATTGAAGGGAAACAGGTCACCAGGGGAAAAGAAATCTGTAACAAATTCTTCTGGTCAGGATCTTGTTTCTAAGATATATAAAGAACTGATTCAAATTTGTAATACTGAGAGCCATGCCCCAAAACATAAATGGTCAAAGGATAGAAACAGGCAGTTTTCAGAGGAAGAAATCCAGGTTATCAACAACCATATTCAAAAAAGATCTAAAACACTAATAATTAGAGAAATATAAAATTATAGTAACTTGGAGGTTCTACCTCATATATAACAGAATAGCAAAAAATGACAAATTAGGAAATGGCAGATGTTGGAGGGGCTGTGGGAAAACAGGGACATTACTGCCCTATTGATGGAAGTGTGAACTGGTCCGGCCATTTTGGAAAGCAATTTGGAACTATTCCCAGAAAGTTCCCAAACTGTACACCCAGTGAGCCAGCTGTACCGCTACAAGGCCTATGTTCTCAAAGAAGTCAAAGAAAGAGGAAAAAGAGCTTTATGTACAAAAACATTGAGAGCAGCTCTTTTCATGGTAGCCCCAAAATGGAAACTAGCAGGGTATGCTTTTATTCAGGTACAGCTAAACAAATTGTAGTGTCTGAAAATAATGGAATATTATTGTGCCATGTTTAATTATGAAATGGACAATTTCAGAGGAAACCAGAAAGATCTTTGTGAAGTGAGCAGGACTGAGAAAGCAACTTATACAATGCTAACATTATAGAGAAAAACAGCTTTGAAAGACTTAGAACTCTGATCAGTGCAGTTATCAACCGTGAGCCCAAAAGACTGATGATGAAAAACATCACTCGCCTCCTGCCAGATTGGTGAGGAACCTCTCTGTAAAAAGAGAGAGAAATTTGGGGGCACGGGCAGTGTAGGGATTTGTTTTGCTGAACTATGCAGCTGTGTATTAAGGGATTGATTTTTTTTGTTTTGGAGTTGTTTTGTTCTCAATGGGGAGGAAGTAGTGGGAAGGGCAGATTAATTAATAAAAAAAACTGTTACTTGAAAAATAAAAATGATAAACTTTTTTAAAAAAAGAAAATATTGTTTGGGAAGCCTGGTTTTTGGTGTCTTCCTCACCTTGCTTATCTAATCAAAGCCCCTGCCCAAGGAAATGATATTCCATTCATGAGTACTTTCTTTGTCATTGATGCCATTATCTTCCCTGAACCTGTTCCCACTTCCAGCCCCTATCACCATCACCAAGAAGAAGCTTTGCAGAAAATTCCATAAGAGAAGGTAGAAGTAGTGGGAAGTGATGGGGTTTACTGATCATCTTCTGTTTTCTTCTATGTCTTAGCCATGGATGAAGTTGAAAGTGAAACTTCTTTTGTACCTCTGGTTATGAGAAACTTTCTTAGATTGGGGGTGTGTGTGTGTGTGTGTGTGTGTGAGAGAGAGAGAGAGAGAGAGAGAGAGAGAGATTTGGAATCTCTTAGATTGTGGAGAAGGGGCCCACCTTTCTCATCATCGCCACCAACAGTTGCTAATAAACTGCCTCCAACCAGCAGATAGACACAGAGCCCTGGGAGTGGCAGCAACCCCCCCAGACCACTAGACATGCATCGGCCCAGTCCTCATAGCCATCATGTGTGGAGGTGGCTCTTGTGGAGAAGTGACCAGCCATCACCACCAACTGCCCGCCATCTCCTCCCCCCGATGGAATGGGAGGGAAGAGAGGAAGACAACGCAGCCTAGCAGAAGCAGCAAGGCACCCTGAAGGAGAGCTAGCTAGTGTGTACCAGGGAGGTCAAATCACCACCACCTTGACCACCATCTTCGCTGAGACCCTGATGGAGACACCCTGGGACCCCGCACCCAAAACCTTTGGAATAGCAATGCTGCCAGACCAGTGTCCTCAGCCCTGACATTAAAGAAAAAGTTCCTTGAGGGCAGGGACAGTCTGTTTGTATCTCCAGGGGCTTTCTACCATAGTAAGCACTTAATAAATGTGTCATTCATTTAGTAGGAAAAAGATTTCAGAGTTGCTTCCTGTTCTAAAGAGGCTTAGAGTCTCCATGGAACACTTAGACCAGGTCTAAAATTTGGCTATTTTGTAAACCTCTACTCATTTCTCCTGTTCCTCTATTGGGCCAAACAAAACAAATCGAGGGGCCACTAGGTGGCGCAGTGGATAGAGCTTTGGCAATGGAGTCAGGACGACCTGAGTTCAAATATGGCTTCAGACACTTGATACTTACTAGCTGTGGGACCCTGAGCAAGTCACGTAAGCCCAATTGGCTAAAAAAAAAAAAGGCAAAACCCCCCAAAAAACAAAAACAACAAATCAAATCTATTTTCCATATAACAAACAACTCTTCATATGCTTAAAAAGGGACACTTCTCCTGGACACACACATCTCCAGTTCTTTCAGTGGTACTCATGTGGCATACTCTCAAGGTTCACCACCATCTTGATTGCTTTCTTTTTCAGATACCATCCAGATTATCAGTGTTGGGGTATTTTGCCCCCAGAACTATACATAATATTCCACATGTAACCTGAGCAGGACAGAGTAATGGAGATCTTAAAGGTTTGATGACCATTTTTCATGTGTTCTGAGGATGTACACACTGTTTTTTGGGTACAGATTAGACTAGATGGCCCTTGAGATCCTCTCAGTCTGTGGCTGTGGGTTCTGAGTACAGTGAGACTATCGCTGTTCTAGGGCTGAACACTGTGCCTGTCTCCATAGAGCCTACCACATTATGTTTTTTTAAAGTTTTATTGACATCTGCATCAATCAGCATGTATTTATTAAGTACCTATTATGTGCTAAGCGCTATGCTCAGTATTGGGTATACAGAAACAAAAACAAGCAGATGTTTTTTCAGGGGAACTCTCTCATATTTTACTTATGAAGTTGAATTTTTGAACCTGAGTGTAGGACTTTACATTTATTAAACTGAAGAAGGAAACGTGGAGAATCACATTTTGTTGATATCTATCTAGCCCTGACCATATATTTAAACCAGACCTATGAAATGTTTAAACTATACACATTCTTTTCCCCTAGTGTCATGTTAATGAAACAGACTTCTAAACTTTAATTTGGTCTCCTAAGTAGATCTGTGTACCAGAAATCCAGAGCCCTGGGCTGATACCCTGTTTTCGTTGTTTTCAGGACTAGCATAACCTATTGTTGATCATTTATTCTGGTTTGCAAATTAATCATCTCTGAGTTCAGTTACCAGAATCAAATACTGGACCACCAATACTCTTTCCACTTTCCTTCTGTTTAAGGGAGGAAAAACAAATCTTTCCAGCATGGTCTTCTAGGGTCTGATCTACTTTCGAAGTATAAGAAGCCATGTAAAGAGACTACCTTAATTACTTTAGGCCATTAAAATATTTAGTTTAATTTTACCTGTTAGGTATAAATTGGTTGATTCTACTAATTTTTTTTCAGCGAGCAAAGATTTCGCAGTTGAAATTCAACTGCATTTGACACTTTTCTCAGAAAGAACTAGCCAGATTTTCTACCTGCTATTTCTGTAATGAATAACACAAAAACCTGAACTTTTAGTGGTGTCATTTGAACAATTTCAAAAGCACTCCCCAAAAATTGTCCCAGCTGGTTTCATTATCCCATAGGAACTATGTCTCTGCATTATCGTCGTTCTTGAAATGGACTTGCATATGAGATAGAAAATTTTGGATTATGATTTTTGTTTTTAAAAGGAGGTGCTTTCTCTTACACAAATATTTTAGATATCATCTAAGGCTATCTTAATTCTGAGCATTAGGTCCAAATTTAGTCTTCAGTTTCTTTGACAAACATTATATTAAAATTTCATTATTTCCCAGCAAAGAGAACCTTTTATGCCCTGGGATTATGAAGATAATGCACATAGACATCAATAATTAAGGGCAGACTCTTCAATCTGTTATTAAATGCAAAGGCTGAAAGAATGGTTACCTCTTCATAGGGTGAGCTTTATAGCCATGTATCATTTCCTATTAGATATTTTTATCAAATGAGAACTGATTCCAGACAATGCCAACTATAGAGTCAAGACTATGATCCTCTAACACTGGACCAGTTTAGATTGTTGTAATATTATTGTAGCTTAGCAGAGATATAGCTGGACAGGGAGTCAAGAGATCTGACCCTAGACAAGTCAGATGACCTCTCTCAAGCAGTTTTTCCATCAATAATAGGAGAGTAATAATACTTAACCTGCCTATTTCCCATTGTTGTGTAGAAGTCATTTTATAAACTCTAAAGCACTGTATAAATGGGTTGATATTATATTTGGGTCAAACACATTTGTAGATAGCAATACTACATTTCAGAATCTACTGATAGACACTTCAAATTCTTTATTAGATGTCAGTGTTTTACAGGGTATCCCCGAAGTCTAAGATTAAGAGTTTTGGGACACTGTGTATGTCTTTTAAACTAAATTTTTTTCAGTGAACAATTTTCTGTCTCCTAAACTCCTTTCAAACTTCCTCTATCCCCGCCCCAAAACACAAACCCTTGCAAACAAATATGCATGGTAGAACAAAGCAAATTCCGCCATTGGCCATGTCCAAAACAATACATTATACTCCACCTAAGTTTCATCACTTCTCTGACAGGATGGGAGTAGTATATTTCATCATTGCTCCTTTAGAATCATGACTGGTCATTATGTTAATCAGAGTCTTTCAAAGTTGCTTGTCTTTACAGTGTTACTCTATAAATTGTTCTCCTGTTTCTACCCACCTCATTTTTCATCATGTGGTGCAAAACTTAACCAAGTCTCTCTGAAAACTGTCGCTTTAGCCACTTTTAACAGCACAATGATATCTGTCACATTTATATGTTATCATTTATTCACCATTCTCTAATGGATGGGTACCTTCTTACCTTCCAGTTCTTTGCCACCATGAAAAAAGTTGCTATGAATATTTTTGTAGATATGGATCCTTTTCGTCTTTCTTTGAGTTCAGTAGATCTAATAGAGATACTTTAGTGCCTTTGGGGGAATAATTCTAGATTGCTTTCTTGAATGGCTGAACTAATTCATAGCTCTACCCACAGTACATTAATGTGCTTATTTTCCTGCAGTCCAACATTTCTCATTTTCCTTTTTTGTCAACTTCGTCACTGTTTTATTAATGTGGGCTTTATTAAATCATGTAAATATATTACTTTTACTCCATTACTAATAAAATTTAATAGTTACATGTCTGTAGCTTTAAATATAGCAACTTGAAAGAAGTAGATACCAAATTTAACATGCACTTTTTGAAATCCCATGCTACTCGCATGACCAATAGCCATACGGAAAAATATCCTTATCTATCCACATGCCTTCCATATCATGGTCTTTTAGATTTTGAGAATGTATCTTTTATAAATATAACCAAGCGATATCACTGTGAAAATTTTCATATATTCAGTAATATTTGCATTGCTCCCAGGGTATGCAGAATATTTTAATAACTACTGTCAAGAAGTAGAAGAAACCTCTACCCTCAAAAAGCTCATGATCTGGCTGAGGCATTCAAAATGCATATAGGAAAAGAGTTAACATTTGCAGAACATCATATTAATGAGTGGAAATCAATATGATACAAACAAAACACCTAACTACTGTGTTTCCCTTCATTCTCCCAGCCTGTAGAAATATTCTGCCTCTGCTGCATTACCAAAATTATCTAGCTATTTAAGCAATAAAGCCTTTTACATTTCCCAGATCATCTTTGAACATTTCAATAAGTCATGCATTATCTTATTAAAAAAAAAAAAAGAGACATGAAATGCTTCCAGTCTTTTGAGCCAAGAAAGCTGGGAAGAAACACTATATTGAGTTTATCATGTATGAGTCGCAGATGGAGCCCTGCAGGAACACTTCAGAGCTTCATCATTAGCTGGCATGTGAGCTTTTCTATAACGAATGCTTTCAGAAACAGTTTTTCTGCAAAAATCTTTTAGTAAATATTTTTATCAGGCAACCACTGAGGTTTGGTGGGAATTCTTGGCCAATAGAACAACTCAAAACAGTTGACTCATGAAAATGTTTAGAAAAATAATGGGTAATTCTAATGACTCACAAATGGAAGTGGGAGTACAAGGCTGGTGCTTGGGTCTCCTTGGTTATAAGGGCAGAGATAGAGGACAATTGGACAGCTCTTTTATTTCCACTCTACAGTGGAGAAGACTGATATAAAATGGAGGAGCAAGAATGACTCAGCCAGAGTCACATAATGATTAAGTGGTAAAGCCTGGGGTAAGATTTGTTACTCTTAAATCTAGTTTCACACTCATACTAGTGACAATACCAATACGTAACAGAACCCCTCTCCCAGGATTGTCGTGAGGATCAAATGAAATAATATCTGTAAAGTTCTTAACGCAATGTGTGGTGCACAGTAGACACTATATAAATGTTAGCTATTATAACGATGATTATGGTGATTAATGCACAGCACTGTAAGCCAAGAGATTTGTAGTTTGGGATTTTTGGGGGGGGAGGGGAAACTACCATTTTTTTTATTGAGTGACTTTTAGAAAGACACCATCTCTGCCTGCCTTTCTTATTGGGGATGATAAGAAGAGTTTACCATAAATAACAGCGAGTTTAGTTGCACTTTTCCCAAGTGTTAAAACCAAGTTTAATATAACAACAATCACTTGTCTCAAACTCAGGTATCTAGCAATCTGCCCTGCCTATAAAATAATTCAGATCCCAGAAGCAACCAAACAGTACCATTGAGCAGTCAAAACAGAGGCCACAAAGTCCAGACACTAAAACCATGGTCACTTTATTCACAAGTGAACCTCTCAGTCCCTCACTCAGGGTCAATTTACTATAATTTTACACACAATTCTAGTAAGCCTTTTAAATTTCCAAACCTATAACAGACAGAAGGAAGAACTAAAGCCAAGTGCATTGACTAAAGAAAAAGTTGTCACCTAAAACAATGGAGAATATAGAAAATAGAAAAACTATAAAAAGCAGACATCCGAACTAAAGGAAGAAGAGTCAAACAGTACTGTGGAGGAGTCTTCTATATGACACTGGGCCCTGACAACATCACAGCATAATAGGTGACTTTGATAATGAATCGCCAAGGGGTTAAATTTTATACAATACATTCTGTTAAAGAAAAAAAAAGGTGAGCCATGTAACAATTTTAGAAAGATTTCCAAATAGGAAATGGAGAAATTTTTTAAAAATTATTTATTTTTTGTTTTCAACATTCACTTCCATAAGCTTTTGAATTTTAAATTTTCTCCCACTCCCTCCCCACCTCCCTCCCCAAGGTGGCACACAGTCTGATATAGGCTATACATATATATTCCTATTAAACATATTTTCACATTAGTCATGTTGTAAAGAAGAATTAGAACCAATAGAAGGAACCATAAGACAGAAGAAACAAAACAAAACAGAAGAGAAAAAAAAGAGCAAATAGGATACTTCAATATGCATTCCAACTCCATAGTTCTTTCTCTGGATGTGGATAGCATTTTCCATCATGATACTTTTGGAGATGTCTTAGATCCTTGCGTTGTAAGAAGAGCTAAGTCTATTAGTCATCACACAGCGTAGCTGTTACTGTGCACAACCTTCTCCTGGGTCTGCTCACTTCACTCAGCATCAGTCCATACACGTCTTTCCAGGTTTTTCTGAAGTCTGCCTGCTCATCATTTCTTATAGCACAATAGTATTCCATTACATTCATATACCACAACTGGTTCAGCCATTCCCCGATTGATGGGCATCCACTCTATTTCCAATTCTTTGCCACCACAGAAAGATCTGCTATAAATATTTTTGTACATGTGAGTCCTTTTCCCGTTTTTATGATCTCTTTGGGATACAGCCCTAGAAATGCTATTGCTAGGTCAAAGGGTACGCACATTTTTATGGCCCTTTGGGCATAGTTCCAAACTGCTCTCCAAAATGGTTGGATCAGTTTACAACTCCACCAACAATGAGTTAATATTCCAATTTTAATGGGGAAATTTTTTAAATGAAGGTTTTGGTATTTAAAGAGGCACCTTGAAAGTTCTGGGTGGTTTGGATTTTTTTGTATTTTGTTCTCTGTTACCCAAAACTCATATGTTTATGCCCCCCTTGCCCTCCAGTGAATCAGAAAATAGACCCATTTCTTTTTTTTTTTGTTTTGGTTTGGGTTTTTTTTGTTGTTTTTTAGGCAATGGGGTTAAGTGACTTGCCCAGGGTCACACAGCTAGTGTTACATGTCTGAGGCCAGATTTGAACTCAGATCCTCCTGAATCCAGGGCTGGCACTCTATCCACTGCGCCACCTAACTGCCCCAATAGACCCATTTCTTAAGCTTCAAAAAAAGATCATGATATTTACAAATAATTTACTCCTAGAATTTAATATTTAGTTACAAAAAATATTTTCCCATAGATTTCATCAGAAAAGTATTCTTCATCTTGACATTTCAGTTGATGATTTATATTTTCCCATAGGTTTCATCAGAAAAGTATTCTTCATCTTGACATTTCAGTTGATGATAACATTGGGAGTAATCTGCTTGTTTATTTTCTGGTAAGTATCATTTCTATATATTAAATTATTAATCTGTCCAGAATTATTAGTAATAACAATGGTTTTTTTTCATCATTATCCAATATCATCTCTTTTTTCTACCTATTACCATAGATAACACTTCTGATATTCCTGGTAAAAACTAGCTAATCTTTCCCAGATCTTAAGTAATATTTTTTCATTGGGAAACCACCTATTTAAAAGTCTGGTGATTCTATTTAAAAAAACACCTTTCTAACTTAATGCTTTAACATTACCCTCTTTCCTCCCCAAACTGTAGTGAATCCTGATTTTCTTTATTCATCAGTTTCATCCAACTTATTCTTATTTTCTAATTTGGGTCTTTTCCCCCCAGATTATCTCCTTGTGGCCATTCCAAATTCCATGAGTAGATAGATAGATAGATAGATAGATAGATAGATAGATAGATAGATAGATAGATAGATATAGATAGATATAAATATATAGCTATAGAGATATAGATATGGATATAGATATGTAGATATAGGTATATAAATATGTAGATATATAGATGTGGATATAGATACATATAGATATATAGATATAGACATGGGTATAGATATATAGATATAGATATATGGATATAGATATATAGATACAGATATGGATATAGATATATAGATATGGATACAGAGATATAGATATGGATATAGATATATAGATATAGATATGGATATAGATATATAGATATTGATATGGATATAGATATGTAGATACAGATATGGATATAGATATATAGATATTGATATGGATATAGATATGTAGATACAGATATGGATATAGATATATAGATATATATAGATATGGATGTAGATATATAGATATTGATATGGATATAGATATATAGATACAGATATGGATATAGATATATATAGATATGGATATAGATATATAGATATGGATATGGATATAGATATAGATATATAGATACGGATATGGATATAGATATATAGATATGGATACACATATATAGATATGGGTATAGATATATAGATATGGATATAGATATATAGATATTGATATGGATATATAGATATGGATATAGATCTATAGATATAAATATGGATATAGATATATAGATATGGATACATATATATAGATATGGATATAGATATATAGATATAGATATGGATATAGATATATAGATATGGATACAGATATATAGATATGGATATGGATATAGATACAGATATATAGATATACTATGTCTGGCACATAGTGCTTACTAAATGTTTGTTGCCTTCCATGTGTTCAATAAACAAGCATTTGCTAAGCACTTCTATATGTGTATTTACATACACAAATATACACACATACATACACACAGCTCCTCTCTCAAAACTAGGCTCAATGTTAAGAAAATCATATTTACAAAAATCTAAATTTATAATACAGATAAATCAGGATGGCATATCAGAAAATTAGCTTTGAAGTTAATAGTCCTGGCTTCAAATCCCAGCTCTGTGACCTTGGCAAGTCATGGAACTTCTCAGGGCTAGATGATGCCCTTTCCAAATCAAAATCCAAATGATCTATAAGCCGGTCAAAGGACGCGTCACAGTTATTGATGCTCATAATGCTGATTAGAGGATACCTTAAGATCATGATCATTTCTAGTATATTTAAAAAAGCATTTGATAAACCAAAATTAAACTGTCAGGAAACACATCTACCTTGTAAAGTGTAGCTATAGTTAGAGGACTATGAGACATGGGGCCAAGTATAGATTCTGAGTGTCAGATTCTTGAGTGTCAGAGTCAATTGATTTTTCTTCCCCATACAATACCTAGCAAATGATCCAGTAACTATATTAAAATAATAAAAGATGTCATAAGAAAAAATCTGCACCTAAGGAAGATTAATCTATCATTGTTTTGAAAGATGGATTGAAACAGGAAGAGAGCAGAGACTGGAAGACCTCTTATCAATCAGTCAGTAAATCAATTTCCCATTAGAGTTTAATCTCCTTGCGGTCAGGGACTTTCTTTTTGCCTGTATTTGTGTCCCCAGCTCTTAGTACAGTGTCTGGCCCCTAGTGCTTACTAAGTGTTGCCTTCCATGTGTTCAATAAACAAGCATTTGCCAAGCACCCATATATGTGTATTTACACACACACACATACACATATGCGTATATATATATATATATATATATATATATATATATATATATATATATATATATATATATATATATATATATATATACGCATATGTATGTATGACAAGATAAATACAAGGCAATGGGGGAAGGTGGGCAGAGAACTCACTAGCCATTGGGAGGCAAAGGAAAGGCCTCAGGGAGAAGGTGCTGCTTAAGCTAAGCTTTAAGGAAACCCTGAAGGAATCTTGAAGTTTGAAGTGAGGAGAATGTGCATTTTAGCTAGGAGGAATAGGTTGTGCAAAGGTTCAGCCAGAGGATGGCAGATTGTGGGTGAAGGCATGAATGGAATGGAGTATAAGGCACTGGAGGCAGGTAATGAAGGGCCTTCAGCGCCAAACAGAGAAATCCGTTTGTATTTGACTCTGGCCGTGATAGGAGATGGTGGGAGTTTATTAAGAGGGAGAGTGACATGATCAGACCTGTGCTTTAGCGAAGTTAGTCTGGCAGCAGATTGGAGGACTGATGGGAGTGGGGAGAGCCTTGAGGCAGGCTGTTGTAGTAGTCCAGGTGAGAGGGGACCAGGGCCTACACTGGGCTGATTGTTGTGTGAGTCTGATTGGAGCACTGTGGTGGAGGTGAAACGAACAGGTCTTAGCAACTGTGTGGCTGAGGGAAGATGAGGAGTCAAGGACGACTCGCAGGTTACAAACCTGGGGGCCTGGAAGGACCGTCGTGACCACAAAAGAAGTAAGGAAGTTCGGAAGGCAGGCAGGGTTGGGACAAAAATGGCCCAAGGAGCCGCTGATTAGGGACTGTTGCCCAGCCTCATAGATAGGGAAAAACTGCAGTTCATTGTGCTCAGAGCACAGGCATCATTCAACACCACCAACAACAATGAGTGAGCCCAGAGCTTCAGCTTCGACTCCCTTTTATCTGGGCTTTGATTTCCCCAAGCAGGGTGAATGCAGTGCAATTTCGAAGATCAAGCGAGGGCAGATTCCAAAGAACTGATGACAGGCAGGGAAGAAATCCACTAGGTAAACAGGAAACTAGCCAGTTAACACCAGACACGTAGCGGGTAAGCTTGCTAACTAGGTGATGTCGTCTTCGTAAGTAAATGATGGTAAGAAGGTTCAGGCATAAATTCTCTTAGGATCTGTGTGTGTGTCTGTGTAGGAGGAGGAGATGGTCAATTCAGTCTGAGGCATGATGAGTTTGAGATGTTTCCAGGACATCCAATTCTAAATGTCTCATGGGTGGTTTTGGTGATGCCAGATGCAGGGCTAAGGGGAAAAATGAAGGCAGAAATGTGGATCTTGGAGTCATCTGCCCAGAGAGGATAATTAAACTCATAGGAGGGGATGAAGTCAATGAGAGTGAGAAAGAAGAGGGCCCAGGACTGCACCTTGGGGACCCATGATTAGGAGCCTTGTGATTAATGATACAGCAGAGAGGACTGAGGAGGAGCAATTGGGCAGGTAGGCAGCAAGCTGAGAGAGAGAGAGAGAGAGAGAGACAGAGAGAGGGAGGGAAGGAGAGAGAAAGAGAGAGAGAGAGAGAGACAGGGAAAGGGAGGGGGAGAGAGAGAGACAGGGAGAGGGAGGGAGGGAGAGGAGAGAGAGAGGGAGACAGGGAGAGGGAGGGAGGGAGAGGGAGAGAGAGAGAGAGGGAGGGAGGAGAGAGAGAGAGAGAGAGAGAGAGAGAGGAGAGAGAGAGGGAGGGAGGAGGGAGAGAGAGAGGGAGGGAGGGAGAGGATAAGAGAGGGAGGGAGAGAGAAAGAGAGAGAGAGAAGGTCAGAGAGAGAGATAGGAGAGGAGGGAGGGGAGAGAGACAGAGAGAGAGGGAAGGAGGGAGAGAGAGAGGGAGGGAGAGAGACAGGGAGAGGGAGGGAGGGGGAGAGAGAGAGAGAGGGGGAGGGAGAGAATGAGAGAGGGAGGGAGAGAGAAAGAGAGAGAGAGTCAGAGAGAGAGACAGGGAGAGGGAGGAGGGGGAGAGAGAGAGAGGGAGGGAGGGAGAGAGAGGGAGGGGGGAGGGAGGGAAGAGAGAGAGAGGGAGGGAGAGGGAGGAGAAGAGAGAGAAGGGGAGGGAGGGAGAGGAGAGGAAGAAGAGAGAGAGGGAGGGAGGGAGAGAGACAGAGAGAGAGAGGGAGGGAGAGAGAGAGACAGGGAGAGGGAGGGAGGGGGAGAGAGAGAGAGGGAGGGAGAGAGAGAGAGAGGGGAGAGAGAGAGAGAGACAGGGAGAGGGAGGGAGAGGATGAGAGAGAGAAGAGGGAGAGAGAAAGAGAAAGAGAGAGAGTCAGAGAGAGAGACAGGGAGAGAGGAGGGGGAGAGAGAGGAGAGGAGAGAGGAGAGAGAGAGGAGAAGAGAGAAGAGAGAGGAGAGAGAGGAGAAAGAGAGAGAGACAGGGAGAGGGAGGGAGGGAGAGAATGAGAGAGGGAGGAGAGAGAAGAGAAGAGAGAGAGAGAGAGGAGAAAGAGAGAGACAGAGAGAGGAGAGGGAGAAGAGAGAGGAGGAGGAGAGAGAGAGAGAGAGAGAGGGAAGGAGGGAGAGAGAGGGAGGGAGGGAGAAAGAAAGAGAGAGAGAGAGCAATGTCTCTAAAACCCAGAACGAAGACAGTGTCTAAGAGAATAGCATGGCCGACAGCATCCAATACTGAGAAAAGGTCGGGAAGGATTAGTGGAGACAATGAGGTAAAGTAGTGACCATGTTATGAAACATTTGCAATGGTCTACTCAGGGCATAATAAGGACCTGTGATAGGATCTGGGCAGGGGGAATAGAGCGTAGGACAGTGATGGCGGACATGAGACGCTACAAGTCTTGGGCACTGGATGTGGCTAATGTAAAATTCTTTTGTAAATCACACTTGGGACTTACTGTTTTTCTTCCATGATGATTTGCCTCTCATTGAGATGGTCTGAAATAATGTTTCTATTTCCTGTCTATATTCTTTAGAAATATAAGGCATATTTTAAACACTATTATCTTTTTGTTTCTGACTAGCATACCTCTAAAAACTTGGGTGCTCCTGAATCCCTGGTTCACTTATGCTCTCTTGTAAGTATTATCCCCTTTAACACTAACTGTCTTTCCAGTAAAACACACACACACACACACACACACACACACACACACCCCTCATTTTTGCTGTGGTACTTTTATAATTTAAAATTTTTTAATGCACTAAATAATCACATTTCTCTTGCACTACATATTGTTGATTATCTTGTAATGTGGCTAGGTATTAGATATTAATAACATAGCTTAATGTTGTCTTTTAGCCCAGTACTTTTAGTCCTAATCATTACACTATCTTGCTGTGAAGATGCCCGTCACAAAGTGCCAGAGAATTTCTTTTTCCTCTTCATTTTTGTAAGTAGAAATCCTTAAGACTTATTATATCTCACCCCTGGGATCAATCTTGTCGTGTTATCAGACCTGTCTTATTTTTAAAATATATTTTATTTGTTTTAATCAGCCAAGATTTGCCTTCTTGCCCTCCCTCCCCAATCCTCACTCCCCCAAAAAAGTAAAACTCATCACGGATATGTATAGTCAGTCAAAATAAATGTCCACCTTGGCCATGTCCAAACAAATATTTGCTCTAGTAAGGGGCAGCTGGGTGGCACAATGGATAGAACTCCAGCTTTGGAGTCAGGGGGACCTGAGTTCAAATGCAGCCTCAGACACTTGACACTTATTAGCTATGTGACCCTGGGCAAGTCACTTAACCTGGACTGCCTCACCAAAAAAAGCAAAAAAACCCCCAAGTATTTGTTTCATTTTTCATTCTGAGCCCTTTACCTCTCTATCAAGAAGGGGGATAGCATGTTTCCTCATTAGTCCTCTGGAATCTTGGTTGGTTATTATGCTTATAAGAATTCAGTGCAATAGGAGCAGCTAGGTGCTGCAGTGGATAGAGCACCAGCCCTGGATTCACTGCTTGAGATGTGGGTCACTGTTTGCAGGAAGAATGCCATAAATATTTCTTAGGCTACTGGGTCACCCCACAGAAATCTATTTAACCTATAATGTGCTTGAAATAATGTACATTTACAATGGCTAATGGCAGAAGTAACACTGTTGCAATATTTTTAATTAAGCAAAATAGAAAAATAATATTGGGTCAGACGTTTTGAGTTTTTTTTTTTAAAGGAAAAACAGTTTTAACAAGAGGAGAATGAGTATTTTCTGAAAGGGATTTCTGGGAGTTTTCAGAGATTAATCTCATTGACTTTCACATTAAAACTTAAAACATTTCGGTTTCTCAATATACAAGCATCATTCAATTCAGTTCAACCCCACATACATTTATTCAGCTCCTGCTATTGACAAGACTCTGTGTTAGGTCTGAATACAAGGGCAAAATTGAAATTGTCCCTGACCTTAAGGAATTTAGATTCTACTTGGGATCTATGTGGATGTGTCTATTAGTAGCACATGCGTATGTCATACATACCCATGTATAGCATGTCCTTTAGATGGTGTCTGCACTTGGAGAACACTAGGAGAGGCTAGAGCAGGTGTGGACATTTAGGAGGCTCCATTTTGAATAGCTATGCAGACATTTAAAAAGACTCAGCAATTTTATCTGCTGTGTCTTTGCCTCATGCACTTCTTGAGGGAGCTCAATGACTCCTTTACTCTTAGAGACAGTTTCAAGAGATAGGAAGAGCAAGCCCCAGGATTCTGAGAGTCTGAGCCCAGCTGAGTTTTTCTCAGTGTCCTGGGGGAACAAGGGGACATCTTTTGGCAGCCGCCTTCCAGAGGAAGAATTCATCTAGGAATTGTGCTGCTTCTAGACGTGAACTCGGTGGGACCGAAGCTGGCTAGGAACTCAGCTAAATGATGAGCCTGCTTCCTTCCAGATACCAAGGTACAGGAGAGTAGCCCCAGAGCTACTGGGGAAAATGTATGTTTGCGCTGGCTGAGTCTTTGAAGTGAATCTCCTTTGGTAAAAGCTAATAAGTGTTAAGTATTGAAATGTAATTGGGGTGTCTGCACTGGCCAGTCGGGACTTGAGCTAGCAGAGAGAGATTTACCCACAAACCCCTCCAGTACAAGAGCCTTGAGGGGCAGATGTAACTTGCCTGGCCCTGGGGAGAGGGGCAGAGAACATATGAAACATATGCAAATAAATACATATTAGAAGATTTGAGGAAGGTGTAAGTCCTAGCAGCTAGAAGGAACCAAGGAAAGCTTCCTGGTGCATGGGGTGTGCCTGGAAGGAAGAAGATTCTGGGAGGCAGAAGCAAAAAGCAGGGATGGTCTGTACAAATGCCACGTACAGGTGGAGTTCCGAGTTTTCAGCTGTAGGCCAGTTTGGCTAAACACAGAGAGTGTTGATTGGGTAGGTATGCTTCTCAATGGTTTGCTATATCCAGAACTTATGATAAATTGCTGCCACTGCGGCGTTTAAAAGTTTGGCCCATGGGGAATCCCAAGCAGGCCTTCCATTCCACCCCAGAGGTGGCCCTGGGCTCTTACAAGGGGCTTACTCGGCTGCCTGTCTGGGGTCACCCTAATAAAGATGTTCCATTGGTATGGCTTGAACCATAACATCAGAGTGGGAGAATGGCGGCATGAGAAAGGTCCTTTGGGGTTTGCCACAGCCTGCCACATGACAGTGAGCCTGTGAAGTGGTTCCGACAAAAGTCACTGCCCTGGGTGGTGCCTGGCCTCGAACCCTGACCATCCCCAAACTGACTGTACCTCCAGATGCAGGGAGATTGGAATCCAGGCAGCCATATAGGAATCTCAGCTGAGGGTTTTTGGATGGGATCACACGTATCTTAAAACCCAACATATGTGGTGTCCTTTTTTTTTTTCATTTCTTTTCTCTTTTTTTAAGAACGAACACCCCAGGTTTAATAAATTCTGCACAGCCTCTCAACAGTCTGGGCCAGGGATAAGGAACCTGCATGTGCCTCGAGGTCCTCAGATAAGGGGCTCGAGGCTGCAGATTCCCCATCTCTGGTGGGCATTAAAAACATATGGGACTTAGAGTCTTCTAGATGCTGCCCTTTTAAAAATTCATCCACTGTTTGGAACTTACAGCTTTGTTTGGAACTTACAGCTTTGTTTTCTCTCTCTTTTCCCATTATTATTCTCAAACTGCTGGCTGGTTCTTTAACTGATGGTCCTGTTATCAAGGGGCAGAAACTTACTGATGGTGGTTCTATTACTTCCTCAACAATATAAATGCGTCTGTAGGAAGCATTTGACTGTTTGCTGGTCTTTTAGTCTACAAGTCCACATACCTTTGCTTTAATCTTATATGAAATACCTTTTCTAAATCTTTTTCACACTTCCCATATTATGCTTTCCCCAGGGTGGCAAATCGTTGATTTTAACTTGGGGGACTGCAGTTAAGTATCTATCCCTCGGGTGTGGCACATCTTCCTTTGCCTCTGCTTGAGTGTTGGCCATCATCATTATCATCATCATCAAACATCACTTTCATCATCATCACCCCCTGGGTGCTGGGGTGGGGGAGATGTTTGTACTTCTATTCTTGCTGTTTCTTCTCAGCAAATATTCCTTTGTGAAAGTTAATTGATGTTACTTGGTTAAATAATACAGGGCAGTGATCACTGATGATTGCTATGGGGGAGAAATGCAGACAAGTAGGCTCTGAGAAGAACCCCGGAGCCCCCTTAGGGTTATACTGAGAACTCGAGCAAGGGAATGCTGTTTAGCCAGCCCACTGGGGCACAACTCATCCAGAAGAGTTTTTAATTGTTTTATTAAGAAGAAGTAATCAGACAGGTAACAGGAGAAGCAGGAGAAGAGAGGAGGATACTGTCTACAGCAGTGCTTCTCAAACTTTTTGATGTTAGGACCCCTTTCCACTCTTAAAAATTACTGAAGATCTCAAAGAACTTTTTTTAGTTTGGATTATACTTATCTATATTTACTGTATTAGACACAAAAACATCTTAGTATTCCTATGAAAGTAGTTTTAACCTTGAGGATTCCTGGAAAGGGTCTTGAGGACCCCCAGTGGTCCTCTGACCCCATTCTGAGAACTGCTGGTCTGCAATGTCGAAAGCTGCAGATGGGTCAAGTGGGATGATAGCTAAGAAAAGGTCATTGGATTTAGCAGATGTTTGTAAGCTTAGAGGAAGGCATTTCTGTAGAGGGTTAGGGTAGGTTGCTACCTGAATGGCTAGTGAGGCAGTGGATGAACAGAGATGCCTGTGAATTTGGCACAGAAAGGGAGGAGAAACACAGGATGACAGCTTGAGGGTATGGCAGAGTCGAGTGGAAGTTTTGTGAATTTTTCTAATCGACAAGGGACATCTGAGCATGGCGTCAGACTGTGGTCAGTAAGGAGGGAGTGAAAAAGCACACACACACACACTCTCACACTCTCTCACTGTCACTCTCACTCTGGCTGGGTTGTACCTCAGGGGAGAAAAGCTCCCGGGCACAAGAAGTAGTCTATTGTCAGTTAAGAGAACGACCACTGCTGCTGGAGGCTGGACAGAGATTCCCCCTGAGGTCCCTGGGGAATAACTGTAGCGACCTCCTTCCTGGTTTAGAGCCCCTGCACCTAGCACAGTGCTCTCTCTGTGTTAGGGGCTTGGCAAGGGTTTGTCTCCTTGGGGATGAGGATAAAGAGCATGTGCGCACCGGGAGACAGATTGCCCTGGGCGGTGAGACGTAGAAGATGGAGAAAGGGCAGGGTGTGCCCACGGTTAGGGTAAGAAAAATGGAGGGAAGAGCAGTTGGATCAATAAATACTTGGATTTGCCGCTGGGTGGTGCTGTTGGCCTAAGGCAGCTTTAGTGGTTGTCAGGCTCATGCCCGGTGCTGAGTATTTGGTGGGGAGTAGAGGGGTGGAGAAAGGGGGTGCTGAGGGAGGGAGCAGAATGGGGCTGGAGAAGAGGAAAGGGGAAGGGAGAAATGGTGTTGGAAAGGGCTGTGTGGCAGAAGTCCAGGCAGGAGAGGGGATGTTCCAAAGTTGGGCGTTTGAAATTCCTGGTGCACCTTTATAAAGTCAGAAACAGAACCCAGGAACCCTAGCACAATCCATGAATTTGCTGATTAATGTTGATGGCTAGTATGCCAGCAAATGTAGATAAAACCTCCTTTGTTAAACAAGAATGAAGTTCTGATAATTAGCTTTGTCAGCTGATCTCTCCCCAAACATGAGGTGTAGGTAGCCTTTATCAACTGGGGCTTTCTATCCCAACCCCCACTGGCTCTGACAAGTCAGATCCCCCAGAGCAGGGCTAGTGGATGTCTCAGCTAGGCTGGATCCCCAGGTCATTGCCAGGCGCTGCTCTGGTGCTCAGCTTGGCCACGCGCTCGCATCCCTGGACCTTTGGAGATCTAATGAGATTGCACAGCCTCGTCTCTCCATCTCCAAAGCCAAAGAACAGACACAATAGAGACAGAAGCAGAAGGAGGGCCATGAGGTCTTGCCTTCACATCAGCTTGGGTGGGGAGCCGAGGCTGCTGGTGCCAGCCTTCTCTTCCCCTCCAGAGGACAGTAGTCCTTGGCTCCTCACTCAGAGTCATTCAGGCAGGAAAAGAGTTGTCCCTATGGGAATCTTTTCTATGCATGCCCACTTCTGGCTCAGCAGACAGTCATAAGTGGATTGGAAATGGCTGAGAACTCCTGGGCATCCTCTAAAGCAGGGAGCCTGGCCCTTTCATTCTGTGGGATCAGGTGCTTCCAGAAGCAGCTTACCAAACATGCGTGTTACTGGGGCTTGTTGGCCAGGCCCCCATTCTAGGTGCAACTGTCAGTAGAGTCATTGGGGATCAAGTAAGAATTTCTGGAAAGAGACCAGTGAGTTAAAGTGATGGGGGAAATGGCAGAAAAAGATAAAATAATCAGCTTGCAGCTGTGGTAAAAAATGTCATGTGAGACTGAAAAATACAAGCAGTTTTAAAGCTGTATGGTTTCCTGCCTCTCCAGTAGAATACCTAGGCAGAATACGCCTCAAAGCTGCTGGTTCTGTGCTGCATTTTTGCTTTGTGCAGAAGGAGTTGTGACTCCAGATTGGCAGAGAGAATGCTCTTGAGGAGAGGGACGCTTAGAGAGACCTCGGAAGTTGCAAACGCGTAGGAGAAGCTGACTTCTCAACATGTCCCTGATTTCTAGCTCGTCCTCCCCAGAGACTCTGGAGAGAGCCTTCTCTTGAGTAAGATTGGAGCCTGTGTCTCTTGGTTGAGTCGAGACCTTATTTCACTCCTATTTAAAGAATTCATTCATTCTTATGTATTTTTGATATAGTCTAATCTGTAGAACTTCAATTTCTGTTGTCTTGTTTGGATAAATGGCTTTACCACTTGTCATTTCATTTGTTTGTTCATTCAATTCAGCCTTATTTTATGTTTTGTTTGGGATTCTCTCTTCTCCTTCCCCTATGCATTGAGAAGGCAAGAGTTATAATTATAATGTGTACAGCCATGCAAAACAAATCACTATGTTAACCGTGTCCAAAAAAAAAAAAAAGGAAAGAAAGAAGGAAAAGAAAAGAGTCTTTGTTTTGTATTTCGAGTCTATTGGCTCTCTGTCTGAAAGTGGATATCATGTTTCATTGTGACACTTTGGGATCACGGTTGGTCATTGTGTTGATCAGCTACTAAATCTTTCAGAGTTGATTATGTTGACAGAATTGCTATTATTGTCTATAAATTGTTCTCCTGGTTCTGCTCACTTCACTTTTTCAGTTCATGCAAGTCTTCCACAGGTTTTTCTGAAACCATCCCCTTTACCATTTCTTATAGCACAATAGCATTCTGTCGCATTCACATACCATAACTTGTGCAACCATTCCCCAGTCGATAGGTATTCCCTCTGTTTCCAATTTTTTGCTGCCACAAAAAGAGCTGCAATAAATATTTTTTAACATATGAGTCCTTTTCCTCCTCTTTAATCTCTTTGGGGTATAGAGCTAGTAGAGGTCTGCACAGGTCAAAGGGAATAAGCCCGCTTCAATAGCAATTTTCTAAAATACTTCCCAGAATAATAGTAGTAGTTCTCCACCAATAATGCATTAGTGTATTTGTTTCCCCATTGTTTTAACTTGCTTTTCTCTAGGAGTAGCTAAGTGGCATAGTGGATAGGCTGCTAGCCTGGGGTTAGGAAATTCAAATCTAGTCTCAGGTACTTAGTGCCTTTGTGAAGGTGGGCAAGTCACTTAACCCTTGCTTGTATCAATTTTCTTATCTGTAAAATGGGGATAATAGTAGCACCTACTTCCCAGGGTTGTTGTGGGGGTCAAATAGGATAGTAATTATGAAGTGCCTTGGCACAGTGCCTGGTCCATACATAGTAAGTACTATATAAATATTATTTAAAATTAGATCATTTTTTCATATGGTTATTGATACCTTGGATTTCTTCCTCTGAAAACTACCTATTCATTTCCTTTTACCATTTAGCAATTGGGGAATGGCTTTTTTCTTGTGAATTTGACTTGGTTCCCCTTTATAACTTAGAAATCAGAGAAATCGGCTGCAGTTTTTTCCTCTAGTTTCCTGTTTTTCCTTCTAATTTTAACTTCAGTGGCTTTATTTGTGCAAAAACTTTTTAATTTTATGTAATCAAAATTGTCTCTTTTATATCCTGTGAACCTCCCTATCTCTTGTTTGGTCATGAACTCTTTCCCTATTCATAGATCTGACAGATAATTTCTTCTATATTGCACTAATTTGCTTATGGTATCATCTTTCAAAATGTTTAAATCATGTACCAATTCTGAGCTTACCTTGGTCAACTTGTTCTTTGTGATTGTCTTTTATGTAATCAGCATTTGGTGCATAGAAGTTCAGCTGGCAAAGGTAAGCTAGGGGCTGGCAACAAGGAAAGAAACTTTGGTTTTGAACTGGACTCATCCCCCTGCACTAGCAATATTTGAGGGGTCAGATCCAAATCGAACCTCAGACTCCTCAGTGATGGGCAGGGGAAGTAGCAAATACCTAGTCCCCAGCCTTCTCCAACCTTTTCCTGCTTCCTCAAGGTGAAAAATGGACTCTCCTATTCCAGAAGTATCAATCACTGCCCCACACAAGTCACGTGTCTATAAACTCAGACAACCCATGAGGGCATACGTATCTTGCAGGGGTATTCACATACATCTTACGTTAGGAACGTTTAAAAAAGAAAGAGAATCAGGCAGCTAGGTGGCACAGTGGATAGAGCACCGGCCCTGGATTCAGGAGGACCTGAGTTCAAATCTGGCCTGAGATACTTGACACTTACTAGCTGTGTGACCCTGGGCAAGTCACTTAACCCCAATTGCCTCAGCAGAAAAAAAAAAAGAAATGGCATAGTGGGCAAGCTGTGACCTAAGGGAAGAGAGAAGACAGGGAGAAGGGAAATGAAGGAGGAATAGGTCAGAATAGGTGCTTTGGTTGACTTCTTCTTCCCTGCTCCTCAGTAGTTTAAATTTCAAGGATGGAATGAAGGGAAAGAGGGAAGCCTTACTTCCGTCAAGTCACAGTATCCTTTATTTTTTAAAAGGGAAGGGAAAAAACTAGGAGAACTAACACATTGCTAGTGTCTGACAGCATATGCAGTATTCCATACCCATAGTCCCCCACCTCTACAATGGAGGGAGAGACACATGTGTTTTCTCAACTCCTCTCTGGAGCCAGGCTTGGTCACTGTAATTGCAGAGTTCGGTTTTTGTTTCTTCGTCTTTCCTTTTTGCAGTGTGGTTGTCTTTGTGTATATTGTTTTCCTGGTTGTGATCTGTGAGTCAGAACAAAATACTTCAAATCACTCTGAGTGTTAAATGTTCCGAGTGCATGCTAAGAAACAGATGCCACTTCCAGGGCTATATCCCAAAGAGACCATAAAAATGGGAAAAGGACCCACATGTACAGAATATTTATAGCAGCTCTTTCTGTGGTGGCCAAGACTTGGAAATTGAAGGGATGCCCATAAACTAGGGAATGGCTGAGCAAGTCGTGATATATGAATGTAATAGAATACTATTGTGCTATAAGAAATGATGAGTAGGTGGACTTCAGAAAAACCTGGAAAGACTTATATGGTCTGATGCTGAGTGAAGTGAGCAGAACCAGGAGAAGGTTGTACTTCATGTTGTGTGATGACTAATATTGATAGACTTAGCCCTTCCCAGCAATGCAAGGATCTAAGACATCTCCAAAGGCTTCATGATGGAAAATGCTTTCCACATCCAAAGAAAGAACTATGATGTTGCAATGCAGATTGAAGCATACGATTTGCTCTTTTTTTTCTTCTGTTTTGTTTCGTTTTGTTTCTTCTTTCTTGTGGTTCCTCCTGTTGGTTCTAATTCTTCCTTACAGCATGACTAATGTGAAAATATGTTTAATAGGAATGTATATGTAGAGCCTATATCAGATTGTGCACTGTCTTGGGGAGGGAGAAAGGGAGGGAGGGGGAGAAAAATTTAAAACTCAAAAGTGTATGGAAGTGATTGTTGAAAACTAAAAATAAATTAATAAAAAAAATAATAACGGCTGCTAGCCACAAAACTCCCGTCAGATTCCCATGCATTTTCACTGCCCTTGTCCTCTCCCTCCCAAGCCACCCCTTGCAGACTTGCACTCCTCGGGAGTCTGACTTGACCGTTTGTTCTGACTTTGCTTACAGACGCTTGCGGAAGGTCTGCTGCTGGGAGCTGTATCTGTGTAAGTCACAGGCTTGGCTTGCTTGCTTTCTCTAGCAGTCTCTAGTATTTGCTTTCTTAGCATGAGCTTCTGCTGATGTATGTGAACAGTGATCATCCTTCTTCGGTTTCAGTTTCTATCAAGCTGAAGAAGTGATGTGGGCAATAGGAGGAACGGCTTTGGTGACCTGGGGCCTCACCTTGTTTGCACTACAGACAAAAGTAGGTATGATTTGTCATCTGTTTGTTATAAGGACCATTCAGAAACACTGGGTTTAAATGGGAGTGCCATGAGGACAGGGCCGGCTTCTTTTGTCTTTTCTTTGTATCCTTAGTCTTAGTAGAACAGCTGAGACATAGTCTGAGATGATGCCTAATAAATACTTGCTGATTGATTGATTAATTATCAAGATGTAAGAGTAGCAAGATTGTAGGAATGAATGTGCTTCCTTAGGAACTTCCAAATCCTTTTTATTTATTTATTTATTATTATTAGCATCTTTTTTTTCCTTTTATTTTTGGTGAGGCAGTTGGGGTTAAGTGACTTGCCCAGAGTCACACAGCTAGTGAGTGTTCTGTGTCTGAGGCCAGATTTGAACTCAGGTCCTCCTGACTTCAGGGCCAGTGCTCTATCCATTGTGCTACCTAGCTGCCCCTCAAACCCTTTTTATTATTTATTTATTTATTTGGAAATTTCCCTCAAACCCTTTTTAAAGATACTTCCAAACCCTTTATAAAGTTTTTTTTTTCCCTTTCCCAAGATTGTTTAAGGCAGTATTTGAGGGAGATTTTTTTTTCCCTTGCCGTAGTGTCAGAGGTAGGATTAGAACCTAGGTGCAGATCTGTTCAAGCCTGGATCACATGGGTTCCAAGATCTGTTCTCCATCTGTTGCACCGAGAGACTCCCAAGTCTGCGTTGGCCAAATTCTCTTTTAGTGAATCTTGAAGACAGAAACTCTGTCTACCTACTTCTCTCTAGTGGTATGCACCCTGTCCACGAGGAATAGGTCTGCTTTCTCAGCTACTTACTATAGGCCTTAGTGAGGTCACTCTGTAAACAGACTCTGATACAAATCCTTTCTGTGATGGAAATAGGGAGAAGAAGCATGAGGAAGGTGTTGAAGACTACGTTGTTATCCAACATACTTCATTAAAAGTTAGAAATTAGAATCCAACTTCAGATTTAGGATGTTTTTTTCAAATTTGCCAATTCAATCCATAGCATTAAAAATGTACTATATTATACATGTGCTTACATGCAGAAAATTTGCCCATGTGCACAAAGGCATGCCCACTTATAAATGGCTAGAGGCCTGGCCCAAGAGTCGAATCTAGTGGTAGTAGCTAATGGTAGGGCATTTTTCACATCATTACTTTGAAAAAAAGGACTATTGGTGCTGTAGCCATAAGAGAATTTTCATTTGAGTTCAGAAAAATAAGCAAAATAATGACCATATTACAAAGTGGTTATAAAAACTTTGTTTTGATGATTTTAAACTACTTCTTGTTTAGGCATTGCTTGTTTTATTCTGATTGGGTCAGGTCTGAGTTATTAGTACTAATAATTCTTTTGAATGGCCCTAAATTTTCTGGCCATTTTTTAGACCAATATGCTTGTCTGCAAATGGGTAGATTTCAGGCAGCATGCTGTAGAGGAAAGAGCAGCTTTTCTGTTTGCAAAGCAGAGCCAGCAGTCTTTTCTGTCCCTATGTCACAGGATTGTTATGAAGATTACATGAGGGGCAGCTAAGTGGCACAGTGGATAGAGCACCGGCCCTGAAATCAGGAAGACCTGAGTTCAAATCCGGCCTCAGACCAAACACTTGACACTTACTAGCTGTGTGACCGTGGGCAAGTCACTTAACCCCAATAGCCTAAAAATTAAAAAAAAAAAAGAAGAAGAAGAAAAAGAAGATTGCATGAGAGAGTGAAAGAGAAGTGATTTTTTAAATTTTTTTATTTTGGCTAACTGTAAGATGCCCTGTTAAGCTTCTAGGCGATAACTCTAGAGGGTAACTGGAGTTGATTAAAGAGAAGGGTGACGTGCTAGACTGCTTTGAAAACTGAATGGAGGCTAGACTGGAGTAGGGAGAGACCAACCAGCAGTTTCTCTAAGTACTATGCTTTTCGTATATTCTTTAATTGAGTGTCTTATTTTATTTTTCCTCAGATTGATTTTACCAGCTTCTCTGGCATTACCTGGGCTTTATTTGTCATGTTACTCCTCTATGGAACTCTTTATATCTTTATGCCTTTCTATGTAAGTATAATTGGAAACCTATTAGAAAATGAGTCTTTTAATTATCATCCCATCATTAGGAATGTCTATGAGATTTGAGCTTAGAATAGAAGTGGGAGAAGGGCATAGTAGGCCAGATTGCAAGTGGAAAATGGTAAAATCTTTTCAGTGGCTGCTCAGCTGCTCCCAGAAACACAAATCCATCTTTTAAGCAGCAGCGTCATCCCAGTGATGTTCTAATCCCCCAATACCTCAGTCTTCAAGGAATTATAATTGAAGGAAGTCCAAAGATGAGACCTTTCAGAATATGTCTAGGGATGACCTCCATGCAAGAAGTGTAAGGGAAAGAACAGGGTCCAGAAACGTAGGATCAAAAGAAGGAAGGGTCCAGTCATGGACCAGCGAGAGCAAGGGATGGTTGAGAAGAGACAAACAGCATATGAGCTGCTCAGAGGTTCCTAAAGAGTGAAAAGGGAGGAAGACAGAGGAAGATCTCCTCAGGGCATGAAGGAGAATCTATAGGAGGACACAGACCGGGATTGCCAAGGATAGAAACATGTGCGTCGGACTTAATGTGGACCAGTAATTCTGGTCCAGGTAAAGGTGAGGGGAGGAAATAAGTACTCATTAAGTGCCTATTATATGCCAGGCACTATGCTAAGCACCTGAGAAGGAGGTGCTATTATTATCCCCATTTTACAGATGAGGAAACTGAAGAAGAGATTAAATGATTTGTCCAGAATCACACACCTAGTAAGTGTCTGAAGCCGGATTTGAACTCTGGTCTTCCTGACTTCAGAGCTAGTATTCTGTCCATTGGAAGGAGAGTAGAAACTGATTTGAACAGTGACCCCCTAATCTTTAAAGTGAAGAAAAAGGCCTTCTTTGTGCCAAATGTTGCTTCTCCAAAAGTTATCTAATAGATTTGATAGATAGATACATGGTGGATGTAGTTGCTCCCTACAATGACCATTGATCACCATAATTTTCTGTGCAGAGTATGTAAATTGTCTTTGGTTTATGACCACAATATTGCGCATTGATCATTCCATTTCATTTGTGAGCTGTAAGTGTTGATTTTTTTTCATAGTCCTTTTTTTTCCCTCAAGAGTGCAGCCACCTACCTTAGTTGATAAATGTAGTCCATGATTTTATCTTTTTGTAAAGATAAAGAATATATTGTATAAGTACCTCCTCCCTTAGAATTGCCTGGTACCACTCCCTTCAAGGCCTCTAGTCAGTAAGTCAAGTCACTAAGGATTTATGAAGTGCCTACTGTGTGGCAGGCACTGTGCTAAGCACTAGGGATTCAAAGAAAGACAAAAAAGTCCCTGCCCTCAAGGAGCTCATAGTCTAATGGAGGGGACAACATGCAAGCAACTGTGCACAAACAGCACATACATGGGAGAGAATGGAAACATTCACAGAGGAAAAGCAGTAGCAGTAAGGGGGACTGGGAGAGTTTTCGTGCAGAAGGTGGGATTCTGGCCCAGCTTTGATGAAAGCCAGGGCAACCAGAAGGCAGAGATGATGTGGGGGTCAATTCCAGGAGGACAGCCAGAGAAAATTCAGAGTTGTTTGCTTGAGGAAGGCAGTGTAGGGAAGCCAGCGTCATTGGATTGGAGGGTATGTGGGAGAAAGTAAGGTGTAAGAAGACTGGAAAGATAGAAGGGCTTTAAAAGCCAAACAGGATTTTATATTGGATCCTAGAACAGGGAACTGTAGGAAGGGCAGCAGAGTGGTGCAGCAGATAGAGTACTAGGCCTGAAGTCAGGAAGATCTGGGTTCAGATCTGGCCAGACACTTACTAGCTGTGTGACTCTGGGCAAGTCACTTAACGTTCTCTGCCTCAGTTTCCTCATCTGTAAAATGAACCAGAGAAGGAAATGGCAAACCATTCCAGGATCTTTGCCAAGAAAATCCCAAAGTCAGATACGACAGAAGCAGTTAAAGAGCAGCACTGTGGGGAAGATCACTTTGAAAACGGAGTGGAGGATGAACTGGGCTGGGGAGAGACTTTTGGCAGAGAGAGTGACCAGCAGCCTTTGCAGTAGTCCAGGCATGAGGTGATGTGGAAGCTCACCACGCTGGCAGCAGGGTCAGAGGAGAGAAGGGGGCATATGCAAGAGACGTGGGAAAGTAGAATCCCCAGGACTTGGCCACATGTTAAATATGGGGGTGATGAGAGAGAGTGAGCATTGAGGGTGACCCCTAGGCTGGGTGTCATCTGGGTGACACCTGCACAACAGGGGGGATGGTGGTGCCCTTCACAGTAATATGGAACTTGGGAATAAGAGAGCGTTTGGAAGGGAAAGATAATGAGGTCAGTTCTGGACATGTGAGTTTGAGATGTCCACAGGACATCCACGGTTGGAGATATGAGACTGGGAGTCAGAAGATACACATGCACACACATAGATAAATACATATATACATGTATATGTATATTTGACTAATGTACTGTTCTGGGGTAATTGGTTGGATATTGGTGTTATGGAGTGACACTATGATCCTTCTGTAGTGTTACCAATGAAATATTATCACCTGGTAAGTATTGATGTAGATAAGGGTTTTTGGCTATTTGGAGTAGGATTGATTTGTTAGAATGATAATGTTCAGTAAGTTTTAAAGGACAGTGTCAGAGAGTTAGGGGACAATAGGACAATAGTCCCTTGAGGAAGACGATTAGGATGAGACGCTATCCATGTGCTCCATGAATGATCAGAGGCATGTGACCATCACAAGTTACCAGAAGAAATTCAGACAGAGAACTGGACACTGTTTTGTGATGCCTCCTCCTCCACGTGAGGTGTATGTGTGTGTGGGGGGGTCCTTTAATAAAACAGTGACTCTGACGAGCAAAGAGGGCAGCTCAGCACAACACTGAGGATCAAGCTTGAAAAATATAGTTGGGTTTTTACCTGTTCAAGAGGTTAAAGAAAGACCTTTGCCAGCTGTAACAGCCAACCCATATGTGAGTGATGATGAGTATGAATGTTGTCAAAAATGTTGCTTTTACTTATATCTAGATGTCCGAAAAATCTTCTTCCTCCAAGTTTGATGGCAGTCTGACTTTGGGGGATGATGAGATGCCAGATACATTAGGTCAGTGGAAGACAGATCGTGAATACCTTATAGAAGGGTTTGAAATGTTTTCACTTCCCCTGAGGCATGCAGCAAAACCTCACCTGAGCATGCAAAAGGAGAGAAGCCCCCTAGATCAGGCTTCATCTAAGGGTAGACATGGCCTTTTGTTCTGCATCTCGATGATGACGGCTTGGGAGGAAGGCTTGGGAGCAGTACTGCACCAAGTTACATTTGCCATCAAAACGTGAAGTGACAGATGAGACCCAGTATCCCATCTACAGTCTGGAATTTCTGGCTTTGAAGGGAGCTCTCCCTGAGACTTCTAAAGACTACTCAGTCTGTTGGAACAGAGTTCCAAATATGAACTGTAACAGTTCATTCATTTATATTCTGACCAGTGCCCAGTTGGATACTGTTTGCCAGGGATGGCTGGCAATGCTAGCTAACTTTGAATTCAGCATTCAGTGCTGACTAGGAAGGACCTACATGGATGCAGATACACTGTCTGGAAGACCACAGGATGCTGTGGAGAAAGGGATACACAGTCATCCAAAGCCATGTTTCTTTTTTTTATTATTTTAAACAAGAAGTTTATTTAAACAACAAGATGTTTGACTTGAAGGAAAACTATCTAGGATCAATTTCTTTATAGTAATTAATTCCTACTGAGAGACAGAGATTGCCCTACATGTAACAGCTATGTACAAAAAAAGTTGTAAAATCATCCTTGGTTTTACAGTGATAAGAGAAAAACATTGAAATTATCCAATCAAACAAGGCATGCAAGGACTTGTGTGTGTGTGTGTGTGTGTGTGTGTGTGTGTGTGTGTTTTGTTGTTGGTGTTGTTGTTAAGCAGGGAGAGCAAAATAATTTACTGGAATATAAAGGTAAAAGTTGAATGAGCATGCCACTAATGGAGAAAAGGGATATTTTCACAGAACCAGTTTGTTTTTTCCCCTCCCCATCTCCATTTGATGTTGATCAAAACATACTATCAGCCATTTAGTTTAAAAAAAAATACACATTTTGCCTGTGCACCTACACCAGTTACTTTATGTACAATAAAGGAATGAGGGAAGGGAATCAAAGAAGAGAGAAAACTATACTGCGGTAGTTGGGATGTGGATGAACCAAATCTTGGTTTTCTAGTTGTGAATGTATTGTTTTCCTTGGGAGCACAGTTCTGGAGTGGGGTTATATGTTCTATTTTTAGTCAGTGCCTCCTGTCTGCTGCTGGAATACATCAATTGTATCTTCATCCTCCATTTCCAACTATGCAGATGTGTCTGTTTCATTGATTGGTTGCCCATCAAATCGGGATCTGATCTGATCTGCCTCATTGACAAACCCCGTCATTCCCAATAGGTTTTCATTAGTTTACTAAGTGGTGTGTGCCTCTTAATCTTAAATTGCACCACCAAACCATCTTGCCCTGCCACCTTCAAATTAGTGTGGTCATTGTTTTCAGTCTTGGCTCTGTCCTTCGGCTTTTTGTTGGCCATGGCGAGTCTGGGGATCTCTTCAGCCACTGCCTCACAAAAGAGGAACCAGGATGGTCTGCTCCAAGGGAGGGAGAGCGGGGAGAAGCAGCAGCAGCAGGAGGAGAGGAGGAAGAGGAAGATGATGGTGGTGATGATGAGGAAAAGGAGGAGGAGAAGGAGGAGGAGAAGAAAGATGATGGTGGTGATCGTGAGGAAGAAGAGAAGAAGGAGAAGGAGGAGGAAGATGATGGTGGTGATGGTGAGGAAGAGGAGGAAGATGATGGAGGTGATGGTGAGGAGGAGGAGGAACCCCAAACTACATTTCGGGTGGATGTTAGTACAGCTGAAAGCTGGGGACTTCCCCCAGACTGAGTGCAGCAGTATGTGAGAATCGCACTATGCTTGCTTGCCCTAGTGGTCCATGGATAGTTGGTGAATTGATGAAGTGACACAGACTGCAAAGCAAGGCAGGGATGGTGAAGGACCCGAGTGGCAGCTTCCTGAAGGCAGTCTTTCGTCGAGGACGATGGCGGACATCGGAGCTGGCACATACTGTACTACCCCACTATGGATTCCACATGTGGTACCGGGAAGCAGCTGGTGCTGCCCGAGACGTGCTGCCCTGTGGCCATGAAAGCTTCGCATGATGATCTTGGACACGGGGGTCAAGAAAGGGCCGGGGGCTAGGAAGAGGCAGATTGTTACAAGCCCTTGATGGCTGCAGATGTCACCAACAAGTGTCAGGCAGGCCTGTTGCACTCCCAAGGAAGAACATAAGTACTATCAACTCTTTGGGCTCTTCTGGCACTGACTTCCAATCTCTGAAAAGAAATAGCAAGAACCTAAGTGATATGTTGATGGTGATGGGCCCCTCAGCCAGGAGTCAAAAAGCCTCCATGGTTGCTCAGGTATTGTGAAATAAATAGTCCTTAGTGTATGGACTTACTAGGAGGATCTCACTAAACTGAGGTAGAGCTTTGGAAATACAATGCTGAAAAGGTTGTTAGCTCTGCCGGCATTATGTAATCGAGACTGTTTTTCCATTCTCTGCTGAGCTCTGATGGATGTGCCAGGGACGTTGAGGATCAGCTGTCATCGACTAGCACAGGCGTAGGGATAGAACCTGTGAAAATGGTGATGTGCGTAGTCAGTGTTTACCCATGTAATGCCTGCCCTGCCATATGTTCAAGATGCATGTGTTGTCCCGATAGGCTTCTGCGTGGTACATTTTTCTGTTTGGTGCCATGCCTATTCGGTAGCTCTCTGGTTGGTACTATGCCCGTTCCATGCCATCCCCAGCTCTCTGGTAGCCTTGCTTTGTTTTGTTCTGTCGTCTAGCAGGCCTGCCGTTATTATTGCCATCCTTCCTGGCTTTTGTTTTGTGGACGTTCATGTGCCACTGTGAAACGTGCCTGTGACTTAGATCTGGCCCCTGTGTTGAGCTCTCCTGTACATATTGCTGTCTTGCTGCTGTCTGTTTGCTGTGTGTGGTGCTTGAGAGTGGCTTCCCAGGGTTCTGGTTGAATGACCTTTGCTCTGGGATGCACTGATGAGTATTTGGTGCTTTGTGGTCTGAGGACAGGTGCCAGGCTTGTCACAGCTGACTTTGCAATTCCAAACCCAGAAGAGAAATGTAACAGTCCTACTGGCGAGCCTTGGACTGACACCCTTGTGAGGGAGCCCAGGTCACTACAGACATTGGGAACCATGTTTCTTCCCAGCTGAGAAGGAGGGGGCATTGCCAGGAGATGGTGACCAGGAGGTGGGGTTTTTGGTTACAGTAGGGCTTTCAATGAGTCCTCCTTCAGAGGGAAGAGTTGCTGAGGGATGTGACAGTGGTGGCAGTGACCACTGGAGCCACTTCTCTGGTTTAGACCCCTGAGTGGGGGTGGGGAACCTGTGGCCTTGAGGCCAGTGTGGCAAACTTCACAGAACAAATCCCCTTAATAAAAGGATTTCTTCTGTAAAACTTGGACTCGGTCAAAAGTCTGCACCCAAGGACCTAGAATGTCACAGCTTCCCCACCCCTGCCCAAGGGGGACTCCTGGAGGTGAAGGCTAAACCTCGCCAGGCTTGAGACTGCAGTTATCTGGTGCTGTCAGGGCTACTCACCAGGTGGCTGGAACTCTGAGGCCAAAAGAAACTGGGAGCAACTGTTCAGGAAACGCCAGTGGCTGCCCATTGCCTCCAGGATCTAATGTGAAATCCCCTTTTTAGCTTTTAAAGCCCTTCGTACCCTGAAATTGTCCAGTCTTCGAGTACCTTGCAAACTTGACTCCCTTTCACATACTCTGAAATCCAGTGACACCAGCCTCCCATCTGTTCCTTCAAGAAGACCCTCCATCTTGACTTTGAGTGTGTTCTCTGGCTGTCCCCTATACCTGGAATGTTCCTCCTCCTCCTCTTCTCTGCCTCCCAGCTTTGCAGACTTCCAGCCTCCTACAGGGAGCCTTTCCTGACCCCACGCTGATGCTAGAGCTTTCCCTCGGCTGATTCTCTCCTATTTATCCTGTCTGTATTTTGCTTGTATGCAGTTGTTTGCATGCTGTCTCCCCCTTTAGACTGGAAGCTCCTTGAGGGCAGGGACTTGTTCTTGCCTTTCTTTGTATCCCCAGCACTATGCACAGTGCCTGGCACACAGTAGGTGCTTAATAAATGCTATTTGACAAACTGACTGAACTGGTGTTCCTTATCCACATCCCACCCCTCCGTCTTTCTCCTGAGTGCTACTGCCATTTGCTTCTCGGAATCTTGGATTCTGTTTAAGACTGTATCCAATTGACCTAATTTTATCCATCAGTCTAGCCTTTCTGAAGCTTCTGCTGTGTGCCAGGGACCTTGCTGGGTACTAGGGATGCAGATACAAACATGAGACAGTCTCTGCCCTTCAAGTGATTCACTTCTACCCCAGGGATGCAGCATCTCCTTGGAAGAGGAAATATGGGATATTGTAAATGCAAAATGATGGAGGGGGCTGAGGAGGGGGTGGCAGCTGGGACGAGCAGAAAGAGTCTTTTGAAGGAGATGCCACTTAGACTCAAGCCTTGAAGGGAACCAGGGCTTCCAAGAGGCTCTAAGTGAGCACATGTAAGGGGGAGTCTATGCAAAGGTGTGGTGGTGGGAGACAGCACAGAAGAGGTCCATAAACTTGTTTGTTTTAATTTGATTGCTGAATTTCAATGATCTCAATAGGTTTCTTCTGTAATCCTGTTGTATTTTGTTTATGGATTTAAACCTTATTTTCCAGAGTCCTCGGATTTCACCAGTTCACCAGAGGGCTCTGTGACACAAAAAACGTGAAGAACCCCAGGGTTGGGCCTTAAAGTTCCCACATGAGTGGGAACCTTGCTTAAACGTCCTGGGAAGAGGCAGGAACCATCCCAGGAGGAGGTTTACAAGCCAAGTAGGAGAGTTTGTCCTAAAGGCAATAGGGAGCCAGTGAAACTTCTGAAGCTGGGGTTGGGCGGAGGTGATGCGGCCTGACTAGGAATGTCGTTTGGTAGCTGTGTGGAGGATGGAGTGAAGAGGGGAGAAACGCAGGGCAGGAAAAGCAATTAGGAGGCTCTTACAACTGTCCAGGTGAGAGGGGGAAAGGGCCTGAATGAGGATGGTTTGGGAATGAACACAGAGAAGGGAGAGAGGCAGGGTCATTTCAGACTATGAGGTTAAAAGGGAACAGTCGGTCTTGTCTCCAGTTACTTACAAACTGCCTGAGGTCACGACTGTCTTCTTCCCAAGTCCCACCCAGTAAGTGCTGTGCTCTAGAAGAGCATGGGTCAGGGATGATGGCAAGAGAGAATCTTCTCCAGCATTGCTCTGTTAATGCTGGCACCAATGTGGGCACCCACGGCAGCTGGTTGTTTTGTTTCTTTGTGCCCATGTCAGAAGCACCCTCACTTTCTCTTTCTGCTTTCCAGTGGCTCCGTTTGATATACGCCGCCCTTGGGACTCTGTTATTTTCAGTGGTAAGTCTATTTTTCTTTCCTTCTCTCAAGCTTTTAAAAAAGGAAGTAGCTGACTTCGATTGCATTGATTACTTAAGCTTGGCCAGAGAGGCCCCCTAAGAAGGCCCCTGTGAGCCACTGGGACATTTCCATGTGGGTTGGCTGCCCATGGGTGGGGCCCAGTAAAGATGGCCACCTTCGGATAGTGGCCTGTAACAGGTGAACACTAGGGTCTTCCTAAATCCGGATGTTGATTTCCTTGTTTCATGGCGGGGCAGAAGGAAGCATTTATTAACCACTTACTATGTGCCATGCAGTGGTAAGTGCTTTACGAATATTGTCTCATTCACAACAACCCTGGGCCCTAGGTGCTATTGTGTCTGAGGCTAAATTTGCACTTGGGCCTTCCTTACTCCAGGCCCTGCTCTCTAACCACTGTAACACCTTACGCCAGTTGCAGTGGCAGGGACTAATCTGTGTGTTTTTAAGCTAGCATAAGTATATAGATAGAAATAACAAGGAATAATTCATAATTACATAGCCCCCAGAATGTATGGAAAGCACTTTCCTCACAATGACTCTGTGAATTTGGAAATACCAGTATGGTCATTCCCACTTTGCATATGAGGAAACTGAGGCTGGGGGAGGAGGGGCCACTTCAGAGAAATCACTTTGTCAGCTGAGAGGTGGGTGGGTTAGGGTGGGAGAAGCTCTGGAGGTTGCACGAGGCGCTGCCACTCCTCCTTCCCCCACACTAACAGTGAAGGGAGATAAGCCTTCCACTACCACTTAGTAGGGCTGGCAAGGAGGGGCAGCAGGGCGGCCTGGACCTAGGCCAGGGAGGGAGGGAGGGAAGGAATGGGAGGGGCTGCCTAGAGACCTCCCGCCTCCGCTAGGATGAGACTGGACCAGCTCCCAGGACTGACTGGCCGGGGGCGCTGAGCCCACCCACCTCTTGGAGAGCGCGGTCTGGTTCCTCCGTGCATCTCTCCCTTTCCCCCCCCTTTCTCTCCCCCTCTCCCTATCTCTCTCCTTCCTTCCTTCCTTTCCCCTGTCTCTGTCCCCCTCCCTTTCCCCTTCCCTCCTTCCCTCCCCCAACCAGGGAACTGAAGGCCAGAGAGGTTCAGGAAGCTGACCAAGTTCAGCCAGTTAACTCGGTTGTTGAGAATGGGATACCTGGCGATTTGGGGGAGGACCGCAGCCCCGATCTCTGGTCCATCTTGCCAGTGACACTGCTCCCTCCTGAGGGAGACAGGGTGGGAGAGGGTGGGTGGGACACCCAAACCTCTCCCTCGATACGGAGAAATAACTCCAACCCGTGTCCACCTCCTAGTAAGTAAGTCATCAATGCTGTGTGAAGGATTATACAAAGCGTGTCAGGCTCATTTTGTAACAGCGGTGCTTCGCTGACACCACATGTAGCTTGCTAGCCACTGTGATCCCTAGATCTTTTTCAGTACACAGTAATGAAGAGGCTGCAGTCCAGTTAGTGCTGAAGGAATACGGGCTGTTCAACCCCAGGAACTCCAAGAGGAAGGTTTCTCGGAGCATCAGCTGGGTCACCCCCCTGTTGCTCCTGCTCCTCCCCCACCCCAAAAGACTAAATTGAGTTTACTCTTAGAGCTAAGTGGGCAAACTAGTCAGAGGCAGGATGCCGTGATGTAAAGAGAGCCGAATTTGGTATTAGAAGACCTGGATTCAAATCCTGACTCTGTCAGCCTGTGTGAGTCACTTAGCTTCTGTGCGTCTGTTCCCTAATTGGTGGAGGGCGTGGGGGTGACAGTAGACAAGATGACCGCTCAAGCTTCCCCAGCCAGGAACCTCCCTACTCTGCTCCTTGAATGACCCTATCTAAAGCAAGCCATTTGTGATAGAGTTTCAGTTCTCTGCAGTCCACTTTGTAGGGGTTCATGTTAATTGGTGCTTGTCAACATAGAATAACAGATAATAAAAGTCATTTAAAAAATAAATTTCAGATGTCCCAACTTGCTCAGGAGGGTTCCAAGTACCTTTAAAATGTCTTTCCCATCATAATTAGAAGTAAATGGCTTATGTGGCAAATGTCTGCCGAGTCGTCCTTTTGGTGTGGGGCAAGTTTTAAAAGAAATCTCTACATTTAAAAGGCATATATCTGGTGCCACTGGTATTTTCAGCACCAGCGAAGCCCATGCTGACCCATGCTAAACTCTGTATGTGTCTGTGTATTTAGTATTTTACAACATAACTGTCTTTGGCCAAAAGTGTCTTATAACGATCTGTTTTGTTTGGGCTGTTTAAGGGCCTTCTCTCAGGGAATAACGCAGCCAGAAGTTTTTCTGTGTCCGATGTTACAGGGGCTTTGTTAGAAGCATCCCATCCCAGATGCTGAGACTTCAAAGTCTGGTTGACAGCTGTCAGAAGGGAGTCTGAAGCCATTGTGGGAACCTCCCACAGACGCAAGTGGATGTCCTGCGTACTCCGTGCTAAAATTCTCTCCCGGAAATCAGCAGGCAGGAGAAGCTTGTCATGGAGAGGACCACTTTGAAGTGTAGAGAAGCAGATCTCTTTGGTATGGGGTGCAGAAGAGTTAAAGCTAGGAAAGCTTTTACCTAGAACCAGGTCCTTCGCATGTGCTCTGCGTCCTCTCTAAGCCTTGTGCCGTTTGACGATTGGATAAAGTTAAAGACTTCCATTTTGGTCTTGTTCATGGGATCATCCTGAATCTGGTTTCTGTCCAAAAGAGTTAATTTCCCCAATAAGGAAATGCCGTTGAAATTGGATGATCGTGGGAAAGTTGAGTTTTAGAGGTTTGGAATAATCCTGACTTATTAATGTTTGCACTTAATCAAGATTTTCATTTTCTAGATGACTAAATAATTGCAGGTTATCACTAACACTGATGGTCTCATCTATCTATGATCTGGCCGTGATGAGTTCTAAACAGCACAGGCTCCATGATTACCTAATAGATGAGAAAGACCACCTTCTAATGAGGTCTTTGGGGGACTTTTGTAAACAGAGTTCTCCTCGAAGAGTCACAGCATCTCCAGGATGGAAGGGGTCTCTGAGGTCGCAGCCTGCCGCCATAATGCTGACAAGTGGTCATTGTCCATCTTCTGCTAGAAGACTTCTAATGAGGGAAGGGGGGGAAACTCCTCATCTCCCAAGGAGCTCTGATTGTTAGGAAGGTTTCCCTTCTACTGAGCCTAAATCAAGGGCCCTCATTGCTTCTACTTTTGTCTCCTGGGGCTAAAAGAACAGATCTTCCATGACCTGCCAATACATGAAGACAGCTCTCGTGGCTCTGATAAGTGTTCTCTAGAGTAAACATCTCCATCCAGCTCCTTTAGCCACTGCTGCTAGGCCATGGATTCTAGTCCTCCCACCATCCTGGTCAGCTGCGTCAGGACGGGCTCTCCCTCACCTGTGGTCTTCCTGAGTCGGGATGTCCAGAGCTGACAACAGCAGCCCCCGGGGGGTAGTCCAGGGCATTAGTTTACTTGGCTGGTACATCCCACCTTTGGTATGTGTTGCTGTGGTAGTCCCCTGACACCACTCTTGTTTAAAGCCCTGCCTTCTCTCTCTTGTACTCCTGAAGTATATGCTTTTAACTCAAGTGTAGAGCTTTAACTGTATCCCTGTTAAGTTTTTCTTATGTAATTAGACCCCGGCACATAGTAAGCACTTATTGAAATGAAAAACACAAATCAGTAGAATGAGCAGAATGAGAACGGTGAAGGAGAGATGTAAAACCCTTTAGAAAAATCTGAGGCAGAAGAAATCGCTTTCATCTGGAGTGCAAGCAAGGAAGGCTGCATGGAGGAGAGGGTACTTGAACTAGGTGGTAGAGGTGGAGAGGGAGCACATTCCAGTCAAGGGCACTGCAGGTAGTAGCACTTTCGTGTTCCATTTGGTAGGAAGGAAGGAAGCAAACTACTGTGAGTCAGACATTGTGCTAAGCGTTTTGCATTATCTCATATGATCCTCACTACAACCCTGTGAGGTAGGTGCTATTATTAACTCCACTTTACAGGTGAGGAAACTGAGGCAAAGCAGGTCTAAGTGACTCGCCCAGGGTCCCACAGCTAGTAAGTGTCTGATGCTGGATTTCAGCTGGGGAAGAGCAGTCTCTTGCCTCCAGGCCTAGCACTCGAGGCACTCTTTGGCGCCACCTAGCTGCCTGGGAATTGGGGTTAGGAGTCTAGAGTGCTCTTTAAAATAGAGTTGAGCTCCTCGAGGTTTTGAAATGCCTTCGTTAGCCTGTGCCGGAAACAAGGCTGCCTCGATCTCCGTTTCTGTAAAATGCTGCTCCTAAGCAGCTGCTGTGTTGTGGACAGTGTGGAGGAGGGTTGGTTTATCTGGTGGTTTTTGTCCTGCCCGTGGTTTGCAGCTCATGTTTGGGGGTTCAGAATGCAACTAGGTAACTGAGCTAATGGGCTTATTTCAGGTCCCCTCCTTGTTTGAAAGAACAGGCCAGGAGAAGTGCTGCCTTGGCAAATGTAAACAATGAAGAATCATTATTTTCCTTTTATTTCTTGACAATATCTTTAGACAAGTAGGGTATTCTAATGAAATATCATGAATGCTGGACTTTGAAATGTCTCAGAATTGAAATTTATTCTAGCTCCTGTGCACTGGGTCTTTTAAGTGGTTAATTCCATGACTCTGAATGAGCATGTGCTGTTTCAATGTAGAAAACTGTGGGAATAAGGAATGATCGCTGAGTTGGCATTCCTTATTGCTGGAAGTCACTTGTTACAAATACGAATCGTCCCAAGGGAAGATACTACTTTAGAATGACACACGACACAAGCTGTTACCACAAACTCACTTTCTGCAACTTTTCCTGTTTTAAAAATAATAGCTAGCACTTGAATACCATTTTTAGGTTTGCAAAGCGCGTTATGTGTTCTCGTTTGATCCCCACAGCTCTGTGAACTAGGCACTATTATTATCCTCACTTTATAGGTGAGGAAACTGAGGCTGAGAGAGGTTAAGTGGGTTGTCCAGGGTCACATGTTAATTTAAGTATGTGCCTGAGGCAGGATTTGAACTCACATCTTCCTAACTTCAAACCTAGAACTCTATCCATTGTACTATTTAATTCTTTGAAAATGTTAATTGCCACCTCCCTCCCCCCAGGAAGCCTTACAAGTGTTCCGATAAAAATGTTGTAAGCATTTAAAAGGCAAAAACATTTGGATGATTTTTTTCATTTTCTTCAAGTACCTAGTGTTGGACATACAGTTTATGCTGAAAAGGAGCCATCAGTATGATTTGAGTCCTGAGGAATATGTCTTTGCTGCCCTGAATCTCTACCTGGACATCCTCAATATTTTCATGTTTATTCTGGAGTTAATTTCCCAAGAGCAGTAACTCAGCCCAGGCCTCCGTAGTGAATACAGGAACACTGCTGATGTCTGCAGAGCGTGTCCTGGTCCATAACATGCCACTCAGCGCCTCCTCCCTCTGCCCGCTTTTTACAAGTTTTCAATATTTTAGATGTTGGCAAATGAAGAAACTCAACATTGGACAGAATGTAGCACTTTTATTTTTAGTTCTTGTCAGGTAAACAAAACATTCTTGGGGGAATATTTATTCTTTAGAGTGATTAAATCATAAAATACTCCATCTTAACTCTACGCATACACTTAAAAAAAAAAAAGGAAAATGCTACAGCTTGTTAAACCATGATCTTGGCTAAAAGCTTTTCCAAACTTTGAGAAAAAAGTTAAAAATTCTTTTAGAAGGTGGTTATTTTCCAGGTTCCCCATTGGTTTCTGGGGTTACTTTGTTAAGATCCAGGCTCTATCTGACTTAACAGCTGTAAAGAACTTCTAAATAATAAAGTTGATTCCCTAAACCTTCCTTCATTCTTTTTCTCTTTTTTTTCACCGGACTGGGACATTTAGAGAGGATGGTTTAGAAAACGCTAAACTTTGCCCAGGGCTAAACTTTGCCCAGGGGTGCAAGAAACCAGCTCAGGTGAAATCTTTTGGTCCTTTGGCAAACATGCCACGTAGTAGAGAGAGGGACCTGCTGCTGGAATTTGTATCACTCGTTTCTAGGGTCAGCAGGGAAATTCTTGACCAAATGTTTTCGTCACCAAGCATCGTAGACAAGGCAGACCCATCCATACCTCTGATGGTCGAATGGAGTTTCTGAAGTGACTTTGACGAACATTGAATAGGAATTTTATCTTTCTAATGAATTCTAGCTAGTCTTCAGATTTTTTAAAACGGGGTTAGATAGAATGCACGTGAGGTTAAAATAGTTTTGCTCTGGTTTTCATCCTTTTAACAAGTTTTGGCTGGGGGCTGCTAGGTGGTACAATGGCTAGAAGTCTGGCCTTGGAGTCAGGAGGACCTGAGTTCAAAGCTGGCTTCAGACACTTGACACTTACTAGCTGGGTGACCCTGGGCAAGTCACTTAACCCTGACTGCCTCACCACAAAGCAAAAAAAAAAAAATTTGGTTGCTGGATCAACTTGTTTTTTTTAGGCCAGTCTTCCTTCCTTGCCTGGTAAAGGACTAACTCTCCATTAGGACCAAATGTTTATGTAATATCCCATGCCACATAACTTTTTCTGAATACCATGGTACTTCTCTCTTCTCTCTCGTGGCAACTCACTGCTGTTTGGGAGGATTTTTTTTAACCCCACCTGTTCCAGTCTACTTAGATATTTGCTGGTAGTGACTGAGGGGTTGGACTTGACCTCTAAGAGCCAATCTACCTCTTAAGAGCATATGGTAAAACAGAAAGCATCATTTCCAAACAAAAATAAACTATTAAAACACTAAAATATAACTGGATTATATTATTGAATACAATGCTGAATTTCTGTGCCTAAGAGCTCATCATTAAAATTATTCTAAAAACACCTTTATTATTTTGTTCTCCTTTGAAGCCCAGGCAATGTGGCCTAACAGAAGTATGCTGGTCTTAAGAGTCAAGGGAGATGGGTTTGAATCCTGCTTTCTGCCTTTACTCACTGGGTGACCATGGGCAAGACATCCTCTCTGAACCTCAGTTTCCTTATCTGTAAAATGGGAGTGATGCTTGTGGTACCTATCCTAGGAGGCTGCTGTTGGATCAAGTGGGATAATTGTAGAGCACTTTGTAAACCTCAAAGCGCTATTGTGGATGTCAACTATTATTATATTTGAAGGATGGAATGTTATGTTTGAATGGTTCTGATTTCATTAGTGTATTACCTACATCAGTGCAGATGAAAACCTGTCTAGGATTCTTATCCTCCACAACTATCCAATCTTTTAAGTATTTCAGGGGCTTCAATACAGCACGTGGACTATCTAGTCAGTCAGTCAAGAAGATTTATTAAGTGCCTGCTACATTCCAGGCACTGTGCTAAGTGTTAGGGATAAAAAAAAAAAAGGCAAAAGACAGTTTCTGCCTGCCCTCAAGGAGCTTACAATCTAATGGGGAGAAAAAAAAACAAACAGGGACAAACAAGCTATATACAAGACAAATGGGAAATAACAAGCGGAGGGAAAGCACTAGAATTAAGCTGCAGAAGGCTTCTTGTAGGAGGTGGGATTTTAGTTGGGACTTGAAGGAAGTCAGGGAGGTCAGTAGTTGGAGGGTATTCCTGGCAAGGGGGATGGATAGCCAGAGATCATAGAACAGCCAGGAGGTCAGTCATTGGACCAAAGAGTCAGGGAATAAGGTATAAAGTAGATTGGAAAGGTAGGAGGGTTAGCTTGTGAAGGACTTCGAATGCCAAACAGAGCATTTTGTATTTACCCCTGGAGGCAAAGGGAGCCGCTGGAGATTACTGAGTAGGGGTTGGGGGGGGCACACGAACTGACCCACACTCTAGGAAAATCACTTTAATGGCCCAGTGGAGGATGGATTGGAGCGGGGAGAGACGAGGCAGGCAGACCCACCGGCAGCTACTGCAATACTGCTGATGTGCGACGATGAGGGTCTGTACCAGGGAGGCAGCAACGTCAGCGGAGGAGGTGTATTCGAGGGATGCCGTACAGGTGAAATCCAAAGGCCTTGACAACAGATTGGACGGGGGGGGGGGGGGGGGGAGATTGGGAGCTTGAGGGAGTGGGGGGATGGTGTTGCCCTCTACAGTGATAGGGAAGGTAGGAGTAGGGAGGGCTACCTCTCTCGGACTATGCCCTCACTATTTCTGATTCTACACGTCCTTATTATGATCACCAAAGAAGGAACCATGTTGAACAAAGTCACACTTCAGGAACTGTAGCAAGACAGGAGAGCTGAAAAGTTAGATGCCCTCAGTCTCAGAAATTAGAGATTTTTTTTTTTGGTGAGGCAATTGGGATTAAGTGACTTCCTAGAGTCACACAGGTAGTGAGTGTCATGTGTCTGAGATCAGATTTGAACTCAGGTCCTCGTGACTCCAGGGCCAGTGCTTCGTCCACTGCACCACCCAGCTGCCCCCAGAAATTGGAGATTAAAAAAACAAACAAACAAACCCAAACTTCATACTTTAAGTCGCCTGCCCTTAGGATGTTATTTCTGAATTGGCTTTTTTTTGGCCTTGAAAACCCTAGGAAACACTCTTGTAGCTTGGCTATTAAGGGTGAGGGAAGTAGACGCTAGAAGCATCATGAGAAATAGTGGCAGCTACAAGAGAGTGGCAGTAGAATGGGGGGATGGGAAATCAGAGACAGGAGGCCGCAGAGTTCTGAACCCAAGGAGCCAAGGTGACTTAGGAGCCCAGGAGGTCAGAGGTCTCTGGCGGTTCCCTGAGGATTCAGTGCGCATGGAAACTTTAGAAAACAGGGCAGAACAAAAGCCTTGGGAGCAAAGCCTGAGAAGATCCGATCAGCTCCACGTGGAGCAGGTTTTGCTTCGGGAAGCTGATGTGACTCACACAGCCCTACGTTGGATCCTTAACTTGAGCCACCATGGGTGATCGATACTATGAGAGGACCTCAGAGGAGGGAGAGGCATCGTGCACCAGGGGGATCAAC